GTTAATTAACAAGAAGGCTGACTTCTTGTATTTTCAAGAGGGCCTGCATATCTATACTTAGCCACATGCTTGTTTAAAAAAAAAAAAAGGCAAAAAAGCCTCACTTTTTTTTAAATCTTCATTGTAACTCTGCTTTTTATTTACTAAAAATACTAGGATAATATCCTTAATGAGCTCTAAAAATTGGACTTTAAAAACAAAACAAAACAAAAACATATATTTCCACTGGAAACAGAACTAATGGTGTGGTGATTCTGGCTCACTCCTTACTAGAGTCTACTGGTCTAGAACTAAAAGAAATAAGCACCAGCTTCTGCTAAAGATTACCCTCTTACCTGCAGAGATACTACAGAGTTTTTATGCTGCACACAAAAGAGAACAGCTTTGGAATCATAGAATTGAAGAATGGCTAGAGTTAGTAGAGATCCAAAATATAATCTAATTCCACCAATCCCACAATATGCAGGGATATCAGCCGTTATCTTAGGTTGTCTAAGAATATTTTAAAAGTTTTAATAAAATGGGAAAATCTCAAAGACTAGAAAATCTTGTCATCATGAAGTACAAAATGAAGAAGGAATTTTAGATGACAAAGGGAAAAAGAAGGAATGGGATTAAATATAGTATGTTGGAGAAAATAACTTGGAAAATAAAGCAGTTAAATGGTGTAAAACATTTAAGCCTTTACAAATGTATTAACATGACATTTTATATAGAGTTTATATATAAATATAAATAGACATCTTATTTCCGATGTGCATATGATACAGATGCAACGATGGACTGGCTGGCATATCTATTTTAATTAACTCTTCATCTATAATTATTAGAGTTACTAAAGTCTGGTTTTCTTCAGTAAATGTGGTTATCTTAGTCATTTGAGGACAAAATGTTAAAATGTAGCATTAAAAAGAAATATATCCAGAGGAGGAGTAGGAAATACATGGAGTTGGTCCATATCAACTGGGAAATGCCTTCTCAGCAGAACTGGAAACTTTAATCAAATAAAAATGTCTGCCTCTGTTGGAGTTCATAGGAAGTCGCATCACATCTTGGACTCAGTCCCTCGTGAGAAATTTCTCATGTTATGAAAGTTTAATTCTGTAATGATTGGTACATCTCTGGACACAAGTTGTTTCTTTATCTTTGTAGATACTGCAGTGCTTGTGCATTCTACTCTGCCAGTTGCAGAGATATGTTGTTGTAATTCTACTCTCTTGCAATAACAGGCAAGACGTAGGTATGTGTGGAGATGTGCATTCCAGCTATTTGCTCTTGGGAATTTACGGGTAAGAAATCTCCAGATTTGCTGGCATCAGTTAATTGTTACAAACCAGACAACTATTTTATCTGTTTAGTTAAGTAATATAATTCTGTCATAAAGCTAGATATTTTTTCTTTCATCCTATTAAAATAGTACCAGAAGGTTTACATAATTGTCATCCTATATTTTTCTAGTTTTCACAGTCTTTTGCTTTGAGCTAACACTGTCCGTTAACTTTTGCAGTAATCTTCTTTTCCTCTTATTTCTACTTCCCTTGTGTTTGGGCATCTAAGGCATTTGATTAGTACCATTTTCCTGCTCTGAACATACTGAGTTGATTCAGTCTTCTCTCCCAGGATTAGTTTATGGACTACCTGAGTATCAATTTTTATTCCTATATTTTTTTTATAAACCTCAGTTTGAATCTTGGATTCACATGTAAAAGCTTTGTCAAAACAAGTGTGTTTTACTAGTAAATTATGGATTCAATAAATCAATGCTATTCAAATATTTTCAAAATGAAAACATTCACAAATAGACACTTGAAGTTGTTAAACTACTTATTACATCACGCTTAATAAAAGCTCACACGAAGCAAGCTTCCTACAGCATGAGATAATTAAGGTAACAAAGTTTGAATCGTTTCAAAGGTTCAATTTCAGAAAATATTGATACATATCAGTTAAAGTATTAGATACATTTCTTGGTTATGTAGAAATTAAAATAGCTATTACATATAATCTTATAATAATTGACTTATTTTGAACTGTGATACCTGGAGATTTGTGAATTTAGCAATCTCAACTTCGCAACTATTAAATGGATAGCAGCATTTGTGCTCTTGTTGAAATAAAATTTTGCATTAGTATACTATACTACTTGTGTGGTTCTCTTGGTACAATTCTAGTTCTTTACAGTTTTTTTCCTTGACCTTTAGTTAACCAACAATTTGCTTTTTAATTTCATTAATTGCTTGGGATTTCAGTCTATCTCCTGGTTGATGAAGAAGTGCTTTTCAAACCAAATAGGTTGCAAGCATTTTGATTTTTCTTCATGGAATACAGTATTGGATATCAGGAAGAAAGCAATTTGTGTAATTGATTTTTCTTCTGCTTTTGAGATTTGATAACTTCCAGTGGATTTTGTTACAGAAAATGAGATTAACAAATGAGACATTAACATATGTACCAAATTCTGATGAGCACCAACTAGTTTGAATCACTGCAGAATTGTGTGGAAAGGTTAGGTATCAGCGAATGTGCTGTGATGTTCGTTAGGTATGGTTGTCTCTACTCTTGCTCAAAAGAGATTGGACTAGTTTAATCTGGGTCTTCCTATTAATTTCCATTGAACATCAGGAAGCCATTGCTCCCCACATCTCTTGGCTGCACAGAAAATCTCAAAAATATAAATCTAAAATATTTAATAAAAGCCTGTTTTGTTAATTAATATAAGCCACTTTTTAAATTTATATGTAATTTGTTAGTAAGTAATTACTCATTTGTTCAACAGCAGGACAGAACAACTTGCAGCTTGGCAACAGGGATTAGTTAAAAGGGCAAATAAGCTCACTGCACTTCTCATAAAATTGCGTAAACTTGTTAGATGCCAAGATCTGAACAACATTATTGTCTTTAAATAATGGTTAAGAACACCACTGATAAATTGAACCGCATTTTTCAAGGCATATGTAATAGCGGAAAGGTTACCAAGACGTGGTATGTTGAACACTGCAGGTAATCCCTAAGGCCACGTTTGCAGTTCTCCTTATTGTTAGATCCAGTTCAAAACAGCTGAGCAAGCAAATCCAGAAGGTACATGTACCTTTCCTATAGCTTTATTTTCTGGTTTAAACAGTTGTTAAAGATGGTTAGCTATGGAACATAATAGTGCGTGTAACATGTCTAAGGTTTACATGCACTGTATGACTGGAGGATCATGCTTTTTATTGATTGTTATTCAAAATGCTGTTTAGATTATTCTGTCTTTGGCTTTGCCTGATTACTCCATTTCAATTCATGATTTTCTCTGGCAACCACAGAAGTAAAATGATGGGAGTGGAAAACTCAGAATTCTCATTAGCAGCAGAAGTTAATGTTAAAAAAATCACTGCTTAAATGGGGTTGAACTGATATGGATGATGGGCTTGTTTGACATAGAATCTCAGCATCAGAAAAAAAATGCCAGGGAACTCTTGTTTCAAAGTGTACCACTTGTGCACAGGGAGTTACGGTTTCTGTTTCTTTGAGCAATCAGCTCTGTGTGGCTCTTGCATGAAGATCAGCTGATTTAGTCTCAGAGAGAGCTCAGTTCCAGCCCTTTGCTTTCTGGTATCTGAGCACCAATAAAGTTTTGATGATGAGCAGAGGAATCCTTTCCCATACCACTATCTTGAATTATTTACCACCTTATTTTAACTGAGCAACACTTGAAGGAGTGACTTTTTATACGTGACAACAGCACATATGAATGCTTTCCCATGATTAAAGGTCATGATGAAATGGAATATTTGGGTTTTTCCCAAAACCGCTGTTGGTATTTATACAACTTTAAAGACTGTTAAATTATTTTATTTGTAAGCAAAGCTTCCAAAATCACTTACTTCATTCTGGGACAAATTCAGAAGCAAAATTGAGAAATAATCCTTATTTTAAGTACAGAGATTGGATAAGCTTGAGTGGAGGAGAGAGCTGTTTTTTTTTTTTTTTTCTTTCAATTTCTACAGTCAATAGAGAGCTGTTTTTTTTTTCTTTCAATTTCTACAGTCAATATTACATAATCTATGCAAGGTAATCCATGCAGTTCTCCACAGTTGAATGGCAGTCCTTAGAGAAGTCTAATATATCAGTTTATCTTCCTCCAAAAGAAAACCAGTGATTTCTTCACTGCTGTCTGCTTTGTCGGTGTTGTGTCTACTAAATTGAAGTTCAGGCTCTTTCTGTAACCTTCAACTGATATCTTCAGTCAGGGTATAGGCTTCTGTTTCCTGTACTGGTAGAGGTGTACATTCTGTGCAAGGATGTTTTTGTAATGCCCTTTATTGCTGGGTCAGCCCTGATGGGCTTACCATACAATGAACTGTAAATCTGCTTAAACAACGCAAATCGATTTCTTGACCAAGTAAAAAAGAACTCCTCTGTCAGTTTAACTATACGTTTTTTTCTTGTATTTCTGCAGTTACAGAACTTCTCCCAGAGAATACAGGAATTTAGTCATCTTGAAATCAGAGCTAGTTCATTTATGCAGTCTGAATACAGTCTCTATAGCTGTAGTTCAAGTAAGTAATAAATAGATACCTCTTTAAGCTGCTGGCATCATTTGTTAACAGGCCTTGAAAATCTCTCTCTTCCTATATCAGTCACTTGCAATGTATGTGATGCAAAATCAGCATTGCATTTTTAACAGTGTTTCTACATCTGCACGAGCTCCTTATAAATTAATTTTGTGAGCATCTACCAATACCCTATGAGGAAAGAGTTCTTTACAAATTCTGGTTACTTAGTAATTCTCCTGTGTGATCGTGTTACTTTCTTATCTCATGTTTGCAAGCTATCAGGCAATAAATTCTGTCAATAAGTTAACGATACATAGTAGACTTGCACAGCATGGACCAAAATTTTTTAGTCATAAAACAATGTTAAATTAAGTTAAATATTATTCAAAGATATGCCGGGTTGAAAGTCGCTGCTTCACGGAAGTCATGTTTCATTAAGCTGTGGGTTTGCAAAGTTCTGACATTCTGAAGAAGTCTTTGAGAGATGTGTGCAAACGCTGACTTTTTTCAGAGATACTTCTCAACAAATACTAGACAGTAAAAAGTAATTCTTTTTACAGTGAGAGTTTGGATAGTAGCATAGCCCATGAACAAATCCATATGCTTTTGTGTGCTTTACTGTGCTACTCTGGCAGATATTTGTTCACCTACAGAAAGGAAATGGCAGTGTGGTGATGGCTCCTCTGCTCCAGCTGGAGAGTTGTGTGTTTTCACCAACCAGTGCGAAAGCAGCAGTGATGAGAGACAAGGTAATTCTCAGTGGGCTTAATTGTAAGCATGATACAATTTGATAACATAATGTAGCAGCAGTGGGAATTGGGGGGGATTCTTCATATAAGAAAGAATTTGAGAATTATTCTTTCTCCTTTTCCTTTTTCTTCTGTCTCAATTTTTTCCTTGATTTATTTTTTGATGATTCAGTTTTATCTTATATGCTGTGCCTTATTTGTAAATCTTTATCCTGATGTTACATAGCAAAGTGAGTGTTTCCCCATCAGTTTACAATTCAAAGGATATTTTGCTTTTGGTCTATTTTATATTATTATCAGAGTTCACTAATCATTATAAATCACATTGCAACTTCGTCTTTTAAAGTCACGCTATGACGTCCAACTTCATAACTTTCATATTCACATCAAGTTATGGCAACAGTTAATTGTAGAGGGGAAGAAAGATACAGTTCACAGAAGCATTCTACAGTCAAGTTAAGGTGCATACTAGCTGATTCATCAACCAACATTTTATTGATGATTTTAAACTTCAGCTCTTGAAGTGGCGGAAGCATATCAGTGATTCATCAAAAACATAAATGTGGTTGAAGCATATCTGTTTCACATGACATGAAGTGCACAAAATAATGTTCAGGATTTTCTTAGAAATTTTCAAATAGACAGAAAACACCAAGATGCACAAAACAGTGAGAGCAATGTCTTTTTCAATAAGAAAATCCTTGACTGTTCATGATTGTTTTTTAAGGGAATGTTTGCTTTCACAGAAGATCTAACATGAAAATATTTTCTGAAAGACATATGCAAAAAAAAAAAGGTCAAAAGATTAGAAGGTATACTTTTTTTCTCAGAATTATCTGCAAATAAACATTAAAAAAATATATATTAAAAAAAATCCAAGTCTGGCAGAAACAAATTATTTTTCAAGGTTTTTTTTCCTATACGTCTACTTATAAAACTTCATTTGCAGATATTCTAAGAGCAAAACATTTTAAGACTGTTTATAGTGAATATTTTTCAGTAAAATTTTAGAAGTTTAAATGAATGAGTAAAAGAGACTGTAGGGCTTATTCCACTTATTTTCCAATGCTGTGACAAAACACAAACCACATCTGAAGACCTAAATAACTATAAAAATGAATCGCCTAATATTCCATCTTTGTAATTTTAAGAGCAGAAACATCCTGAAATCTGTGCAAGGTATAGACAGAACAGTAGGGATCTATCTTGAAGATATGATTGCAGTGCAGAAGCTTAAGTAGAAAAATAGCTTTGCAGTATTCCCAGATCAGAACAGTGTGCGGCAGATGGGCAAACATACAAACTGACACCTTGATCTCTTCCCATGTTTGACAGCAAACTTCTGCCCCAGCACAACCAGACCATTATCTGAGCAGCCACAGAGTCCACAGACTGTCACTCAGAGTTTCACAGCACTTCCTCATCTCCCTGTTTTAAATGGAATGTGTTTTGGCGCTTATTTCTTGCAGACAGCCCATAGGATGCTATTCTGTTTTTACTCGTCTTTGGAGCAACCTTCCCTAGTTGCATTTCAAGTGTTTATCTGTGGTGGTATTCACTGAAACATGGTTAAAAAGCCTGCATAAAAGTTAGACTATGCATATCTTGCTGCATATTCTATAAGCATAATAAAAGATGTGGCCTGGAGGAAGTGCTTTTTTTCTAGAGAAACCAAAATCAAGCACAATGAAGGTTTCAAGTTTATGTAGTGAAAACATAAAATATCCATCTCTTGTGGAAATAGAAATGGTATGCCTAACCTGAGATATGTCTATCACTGGGGAATTCAACAGGCATTGTTTCCAGCCAATGGCGTTTAGAATGTTTTAGTGCAGCACAATGAAGTTACAGAATTTGATGGTACACAATACAGTGTTAACTATTGTTCTAATTGCAGAGGAACTAAGAACAAGTATCCCAGAATTGATTCTGGACTTCTGTGCCAAGCATATATCAGGATTATATTTCGATAAATGAGAAGCACATTGTCAGAGAAAAGTTCAAGGCATCTGGGCACACAGACTAATGAATCTGGATTTGATTTTCTGCTCTTTCTCCTAGATATCAGATTAATGCTCTTATCATTTACATATTCCAGTTAACACGTGTGCACAAGTTTACCTTATGATTTTAAAATTAAATTCCCCAAATCCAGCTATCATAATGGCTTCCTTTGCATGACAAGAAGAAGAACTTAAACTTTCAATTAAAATTAGAAGTTACAACAAATCCAAGTCCTTCTTTCCAGACCAAATATCAAGGACCTGGTGTGAGCAACTAATTTGCAAGGCAGCATGAGGATAGTCCTGGTATCTAAAGAATCCCACTTAGAAGGCAAAGCCTTACTTTGCCCTTCTTTGCTGCATGTGGGAAAAAGCTGACAAATATTTTCCACATGGTGTATGAGATCTGGATGCACTCCCACATATCTCCCCTTCTGAATTTCTTTCAATTTAGGTTCCTCTGAAAAATGTGATTTTGAAACTGACCTCTGCAAACCTCTTCATGAAGCGAGTTTCCACCCTGGATGGATTAGAAGAAATGGCAACTCCGGTGTGGGACCACCATATTCTGACCACAATGGGAATGACAGTAGTAAGAATCCTTGCCTTCACTGAAGGAATCATGGGTTTTTACAAGTTATTTACTTCTCTATTATTTGCTTGAATTACTATTTTCTTGATGAACTGTTGGGTTCTGACACGCTGTTTTCTAAGATAAAATAAAAATCTGGACACTAGAGCTTTCTAGGTGCTTATAATCAGAGTAGTCTAGAATTCTGTGGGGGATGGGAAAGGTGAAGGAGTGGTTGAAGGGAGGAGGGCGGAAAGAAACAGTTTCCTGCTCTTGTGGAGGAATAAGTAATCATCAAGAGTCACATTTATCTGCCTGAGTGATCCCTACCTTTTACAGAGATATCATGTTGTAATGTCACTCATTACACTTAGAAAGTTTAGAAATTATAATTGAATCCCTTGCCTTGAGATATATTTATATTTGATTTTTGAACACTAAAGCATGTGTATATGTCATTTGTAACTTACTGTTTCAAATATTTTGAGAGAGGGTGATTTTAGAGCTGAGAATAGGAAGAGATTTCATAGCCTATCTGAGCCAGCTTCTCTAAAACTTATTATATTTTCACTTTGTTTAAATATTGTCCCTCAACAGAGTAAATAATTGACCATGTCTCCCGAGATATATATATATATCCCTTATGCTTGTTCTTTTGCCAAGTTAACCTTACTTTCCAAAACTAGGCTTCTTTCTTTTGGAGTACTTAAATTTCTTCATAATTTAAATTGACTTGAGCCAAATTTTTAGTTTCAATGCATTTATTCCTGCTTTCCTGAGCTATTAGAAGTCGTCTTTGTAAAAAAGCAAAGAAAGAGGTTAACAATTTGATGGAGCACTCTATTATCAAAGAAAATATGTGGGCTTATTATCCAAACTGTTTAATTATCTTCTCTGTGCTTTTTTTTTTTTTTTTTTTTTTTTTTTTTGTCTCCTTCTCCTTATCCATCCACTCCCACTCACTTCTCACAAACACAGTAGTAATTTTGAGTCCTCAGAACATGCACAGGGTGGCAGGCAATAAAACATTAGAGAGTATATAAGAATATAACTTACAGAAGACTAAATTATCACTAGAAGATTGACGAGCCTATAGAAGCTTTTGTCCTCACTCTTGAACTATTATGATCTGGGCGTGTGGAAATTTGTACTGTTCTCAAGCAAGTGCTACATCCTATGTTCTGCTTAAGATACCAAACAGGTAACAGTTCCACTTAACAATTAATGTGAAGTGTAGACTTAGAGGTGAATGCCTGGAAAAGTTGTTGTTTCTTTATTAATATTTAATGTACTGGAGCCAAATGAATAGGGCCAGGCTCTTTTCAGCGATGTGCAGCAACAGGACAAAGGGCAACAGGCACAGACTGGCACAAAAGTAGATCCATAAAAACATGAGGAAGAGCTGCTTTACTGTGAGGATGACAGAGCACTGAAAAAGCTGCCTGGAGATGTTATGGAGTCTCTAGAGATATTCAAGACCTGCCTGGATGCTATCCTGTGTACCCTATTGTAGGGGACCTACTTTAGCAAGGGGCTTCAACTATCTGTTCCCAAAAGGTTCATTACAACCCCCATGATTTTGTGATTCTGTGGTATGCTTTTAATAACTTTTTGCTTATAAAGCAAACAAGCACATCTTTAACAATGTAATCTAAAAATTAAGCTCTTTTCAAATAAATGTTGGGTTAAAGTGATGTGAACAGAAAAATCCGGGTTAACGCCAAAACTTTTTCATAAAGTAAAATAAACTTCATTTTAAGTGCATGAGTTAAAAATCAAGTGATTTGCGACATAATGACAGAGCTTGTAATCAAGAAACAAATACAAGGTGAGCTCAATGTAACAAAAATCTAATAAAATCTTGGTTGTATCAAAATAAACCAGGCAGAAACATTACTTAAGCTGAAATTTCTGGAGTCTGTGCATGCTTGGTAGTATGTTGCACCAGAAGGCAACAAAGACCTGGAAGCAATTCCTGCATATGTCCAGTAAAAGTTTACCTTTTATCTTCTAAAAAATTAGCAGACTGTGTAATCTGTTTTATATTTGTTCCTGCTTAAAGATTGGAAAATATATTGTACATTTGATTGAAGTCCTGCGACAGAGCACAGGAGGGAGGAGTTCCTGCTGTCACAATAAGTAATTGCACACAAATTAGCAGCAAAATCATCTGTTAAATGATTTAATCATTTACTAGTAGTCAGTGGGTTCTCTTTATCTTTGTCTGTTCACATGGTTCTTTTATTTCATCGATAATGTAGTTGAAAAATATAGTGAAAGACACTTCAAAAATCAAAACCAACAAAATTTTATGAATTGAAAACTCTTATCCATGTAGACTTTGAATATTTTGAATTGCTGTTCAAAGAATATCTTCTCTATCTATGACAAAACCTGTGGTAGGTGGAATCTGATTTATTTATTTACAGTTCATATATATATATATATTTAGGGAAGAAAAATAAAAAGTCCCAAGTGGAAAACCTGATGAAACTTTGTAGTCAGGGAGAGGGCCTTACTAAGCCTCCAATCCACAAATTATTATAGGTGGGAGGAGTGCCCTTATGGCTGACAGGCTCCAAAAGTACTGATGGCGTAGCAATGGGATTTCTAAAATCTGAAGGGAATGCAGCAGTGCAATATGCTTCTCTGGAAGGAATTGCTCACTGAGCTGGACTTGTAGCACTTTGTCAGTGGTTTACCTCTTTCTCTCTCTCCCTTCATTGCGCCTTGCATCCTTTAACTATAAAATTCAATATATCTGAGAACTTAATGTTATGGAAGAGCAAAATTTAGGCTAGTGGTATCTGATGTTCTAAAACGGATGGAGATCTGATTCCGGAGATTTGAAGCAATCATGCCAGGAAGAGGCATAGTTACAAGCACATTTTCCTTACTCTGGTTGAGCTGCTATACTTTAAAGTAAGGCAAAGATTTAATTTGGACGTATTCTGTAACACAAGAATTATGGTGGATTCTGAGAATGATTCTTCTTTCATTTGGGATCCAAGCATGGGGATACCAGGACCTCTTCTCTGCTGTGAGGAAGTTTCCCAAGCAGCCAGAAGCATCCTCTGGGAAAGGATGTAACATCCTCTCATGTCTTTCTCTACCTCCGTAAAGACTTGAGCTGTTGTAGGTCACAATTTTTTTGTTTAGGCATGAAATATGCAAAATATTCAATTGTTTAAGTTCTTTGATCATTTCACTAGACCAGCTTTTTTCCAAAGTTTTGCACCTTATTGGGAACTCGAGCAAGAAGCTGAAGTGAAAAAATGTTGGAAGCCTACCTGAAATTTAGCCTGATCACGGAGAAGCAATATGTCATAATGAGATAAAGCTTGGCATAAAATGGCTATGAGTATGCCATGAATCTTTTTCATGGAAAAAGTTCTATTTTGCAACTAATTCATACTTGAATGCATCTTTTCTTGTTTTACTGCTATATTTCTCCAAATTTATGTTTTTATATTTATTTTAATAGCTTATTTCCTTTCGTTATCCTCCGAGATGAGATTGTCTTCTGCAATGTTAAGGTCCAAAGTTTTGCTTCCAACTGATGAAGAACACGCTTGCCAGGTATTTTGATGCATAGTCCTTTATTTTGGCTTTTTGTCATAGCACTTCACTCTAAGAATTATAACTTTTTTTGTGCTAGATTACATTTCAGTATTGGATCAGTCAGAGTGGAGTATTGATGGTGGGGCTTCAAAAGCACTCTGAAGATGCTATTGAGAACATCTGGGATGATTCAGGAGAGCTGCAAAACCAGTGGAAAGAAGAAAGCATCACAGTCAATAGCACTGAAAATTTTGAGGTTGGTATCGTGAGTTGTCTGTAAATTGAACATAAAGGTAAAGGTTTCTACATTCCTTTCTTCTAGTAAGACAAGTAAAAATATCCTGTAAATGGGAAGCATTATTACAAGATATTAAAAAGATCAGCTATTTGGAAGTTCAAGACTGTCAGTAATAAATGCTGCTTGTTCTCATTTTTCTGGTGTTAAAGGTGATGATATACTTCACTTAAAATGCACATGTGTCTTAAATAAGAGTATCTTATTGCATTGTAAACTATATGTCTGCTGATAGAAGTGATATCTTGGGAACTTAACCTTCAGTAAAATATGCTTTTAGGCTCAGTCTAACTGTATTGTTAAATTGAGATTTAATTTATAAATATATAGTCTGTGAAATTCTGCTCTGTACTGTTAGCTTCCGCTCTCTAGAGATGCATCAGGTGACAAACACTGAACTATTTGCTGTAGTTATGTTTTTTATGGTCTTTGAGCCTTTATCATCGAATGCATTTGTATAATCTTATTGCTTAAAGCTGTGAGCAGTTGCTTAGTGTACAAACCTGAAGGTGTAAGGGAGCAACCTTGTTTCCTTGAAATGTAAGTGTAACAGAATTACTTGACTTGCAGAGGTAAAATTCCAAGATCAGGAGTTTTGAAACAATATTTGTCTGCACAACTCTGGCTGGGGATGTCTGTTATAAAATACATGCATCCAACTCTAGTATTAGTGTTGTCATCTGTTGAAAATTTAGCTTCATCTGACGTGAGCAATTGTTTAGCAATGCAAGATTGTACTGGAAGGTTTTCTTTCTATATTTACTTTTTCATTCTTTACACGGTTTAGAAAATTATCTGGCTTTGGGACTGTTCAATAAAGTATGCAATCTTCCTGCCTCTAAATTTCTGGATCAAATCCTAACTAGATTGCAGATTGTGAACTTTGTTATGTTTTGGCTTCTGTAAGGAGAGCTGGCACATCCAGCTTTAAAGAGACAGATGTCAAACTTTTGTGCAGAAATTGTTACAATTGACTAAAGGAATGTAGCTGGGTATATCACCAAACCTGTAGAACGAGGCTGAGACTTTCTTTGATTGCAACGTTTCCCTCCAGTTAGTTTGCAGGATGCTGGTCGTACAGTTAACTTGTGCTTCTGAACTTTCCCTTCTATGAGATCTTTAGCCTTACGGGGCTGTGTCATTCTTCAAGAAAATGTTTCAAGCTATGCACAAATAAGTAAAACCTGTTATCAAATGACTAGTAATCATACTTGTTCTTTGCATCAACGTGAAAAATTCCCATTGCAATGAAAGTATTAGAAATATAATTGTCTTTTTCCTATCTGACAAAGTAATCAAAACCTTTAACCTTATAATGAATGGGAATTTCATTGTCTTATTTAAGTATTTTGATTATAATTTCAGATTTCTTAGTTATAGTGTTTCTTTTTAATGATTAAATTTTGTGTGGAAAAAAATGAATAGGAAATGAATATATTTTTTTTCCCAGAGTAGAAATCTTTTTTGAAATATTGCTTTAGTATTTTGCATCAATTTTTCAAGAATAACTGGTGAGATATTAATTAAAATCAGCCTCAGCTGCTTATTTTCTTTGCCAGTCAATGATGTTAACTAATACTTTTTGCTTCTCCTTCTACTTAAATAAGTAAATACACTCCTTTAAAAAGCATATATTATAGACTACAGTTTGGGGATTTGGCTTTCTAAAATTTTAAAATTCTGAAACATGAAGAATATTACCACTTGAATTGTCCAACACACTACAGTCTCAGCTGGTCTGGTTTGGCTCCTTTGTGGCAAACTATATACTGGTTTCCTCTCCTGAACTACTTCTTTTCTCCCTTCCACTCAAACCAAATTTCTTTTTCACAAATTTCATTAAGGGAAGAGGTTCAGGACTTAGGGTTTCACTTCTGTTTTTGCAGTTATTTCCTTACCCCCAAAATTTAGTACTATGAATCTTTGCTGCTTTCCAAGAAGTGTGGTTGATCAGTTCCCTCCTACTTCACTGCAGTAAGTTAAAATCTGCCTATAAGACAGACATGTATAATGTTTGTAGCTTTATCTAAATACAGAGGATGTTTTTAGGAAAAGCATCACTATTGTAATGTTGGAACAGAATAAATGTTGAATTTTGCTTTTCATTCTGAATACTCTTCAAGATTTGTTTTGGCTGAAAACTTGTTGGTGAGAGGCTTCTAAACTGAAAAGGTGTTTGTTGCCCTGACTTTGTTCCAGGTCACTGGTAAATTTTAAAAACAGCCAGAAAACATTAATATTTCTACTTTCTGAGGGAAGAATGGTTTGGTAAAATGTATAGTCCTTTTCTGTTTCCTGAATGTTATGATCCCTGCTTAGATTTTAATATATTTTGCTGTGGTTCCCAGATCATTTCTAGTAAAATTAGTTTGATTTTGCTCCTTCATCTGTTGTACTGGTGAATGCCATTTCTTATTGATTTCATGTTAAACTCTGCAGGTTATCTTCCATGGGATGGTGGAGAACCAGAGACAAAATGTAACAGTTGCTATTGATGATGTTTCTTTCAGTGAAGGATGTTCTCTAGCATCTGGTAAGAATACTTATTTTTCAGGAAATTGTTCATTTTCTTTGCTTTTTGCTTTGATTAAAAGAGAAACACAAAGAAGAGAGAGCCATATGGTACTTAAAGACTTTCTGAACTCCATGTTTTTACATGTTTTTTCATTCCTCTAAACCATCATCTGTCAAATTACATCTAAATGTAGTTACAAAGAATGACAATAAATACCTCAAGAAATCTAGTATGTTACGCTATACCTGCATAGGAGAACACTAAGGTTTCATTGGCCAAAGATTCTTTCTGCCCAAAATCAAACCAAAGAACTGATATTTTCATAAACTCAGGGAAAGCCTCGGAGCTGAGTTTAGGGAAATTCCCAAAGCTCTTGTGTTTATTTTTAAAAATGTGAAAGGTCCTGCTCCTCAGCTGTAGGGGGGATTATTTTGTTCTGCTCTGCTACATCCAAGAGCTGTAGAGTCAGGCTGTCAGCTCTGCAGCTGAACCATCTATGCGTATTGAGATTCTGCTGCAAAACATTCAGTCTTTCGCTTTTTAACCCAACACAGTTTCATGGGAAAAAGATGCAACCCATCCTAGCAAAAATTATATTACTTGCTGCTCTATATTACAGAAGAGGATTGCAGTGTTGTACTCAGGTGACAGCATCAGCTCAGTACAGTTCTGGTTCAAAACATCCCTTTTGCTTCCGGACTCTGAGACATGGCACAGACTGTGAGGATCTGGTCTTTAAATTTGATGTGAGGTATGGATGCCATGTTGGATGCATATCAGAAACAAGTTTTTCAATATTTTTGTACTGTAGTATAAAACAAAGTTCTCCAGAGGTCCCATTGGGAAAATAGAAGGATGTGGTTAACATTTTAGAAGTGCTGAGCAATCATAAGCAGATTGTAGTAAGAACAAGACACAAATCTTAAAGATTCAGGCATACAAAGGAGATCTCTATTGTGGAAAAATAAAGTTTGAGCTTACTAGACTCAGTTGTATAAAGCTTTCCATGTTTTGACTTTTTTTTTAAGTGAACAGCTGCAGAAGCTAAATTCATATAAATGTTTTCGTGTTGTTGCTGATCTTGCTTTTCTGTTTTGTAGAGGTTTCCTAGCAGTGCTACTTAAATGAGCTACTTAAAGGATGCTAATTTAAAACTATGTGTATCCTTGTCTGTGAACTCAGACGAAGTTGAATTTGAAACTGCCAATGAAAAAAGGAAAGACGAAATATGTAGGATTCTCCTGGCTTTGTTCTGCTCCTTGGAGGATTTCTGGAGATAAAAGGACAGGCTCAAATACATTAAAAAAAAAAAAAAAAAGCCCAAACAAACAAAAAAAACATTGCCAGAATCCAACAATGTACACGATTACTTGAGTGGATGGATATAAGTCTGTCTGTGCAAATATACTGATTCCCCTTTTTTTCCATAAACAAAGTGCTTCTAAAGCAAACATAAACAAAAAGCATATCAATCACAGAGATGAAATACTGTCTCAAAAAGAGAAAAACATTAAAAATAGAAACAAACGTAATCAACAGTGCTGTTAAATCTATGTGCTAAAATTAGCTAAGATGACAACAATTGAAATATGTAGTGAGGTACACATATTGAGCTACAGCACTCAGACATAGTCCAGTAAGAGCCCATTCTTATCCTGTGTGAACATTAGAAATGAACTTAATTAGGAGAAATCTAAGTAGCAGTTGCTCACAGCAGCTAATGAACAGGTCAAAAAATTTTAGTTTTTCCCTGCAAGAGTAATTTTACTGTTGAACATTTTCCAGCGATTAAAGTAAAAGGTCAGGTTAATGGTAGCTTGCATTATAAGTAACTTTTTTCTGTATTCCTTTTTCTATCCCTCTATCCCCAAAATACACTCTCGCATTCTCATGTCCACTTTTGAAAAAGAGATTTTTGTACATACAATTTTGACCATAGCAATTTAAAATATCCTAGTTTTATTTTCTTCCAAACAGTTGTCAAATTGCTTCAATTATCATACAAAATAACTACTTTAGCTATCAAACAGCAAATAGTAAAATTACGTTCTAGAACAGATGTAAGACGATCTCCTATAATTATAACTCTAGTAGACATATCATTCAAAGGTTTTATATTCTTATCCATGTATCTACAATTGCCTTTAAGACATCCCTCTTGAATACTGACAAAGCATATACAAAGAACTCCTTTATTAGGACTGATTTTGCCGCAGGCATGAGAACAAAGACACTGAAGGCATGAAACACTGAGGGAGAATGAGGTATTTGTGTTGTCCTTCTGATGCTGCTTGCAATGCAAAAGCTATCTAGCTTGTCTACAATATTAGTGTGATTTTTTTTTTTTCCTTTTTAACTCAGTAACTCAGTTTCTAAACTGCAGTATTTTGTACATACCACTTCTAAACTTGATTAAAAAAAAAAAATCCAGTATGAAATTTTACAACTGGCATCATCCCAGCTAAGCATAACTCCTTAGTTAATTCTGTTCATGCAAGGATACAAACTTTAATATACAAAATGCACTACTTGGCGTGAGGTCATTAGAATGAATTATTGTGGGGATGGAAGTAAAAAAAAAAAAAAAAAACAAACACACAACAAAACAAAACCAAAATGTTTATATTACTGTTATTAGATGTTAGAAAATGGGTGTTTTGTTTCAAAACAGATTATTTGCAAAGGAAAATTCCTCAAATATTTATAAATGAATTAAAAATGCAGAATTAATTGAAGTATTTCCAATAATTAGTGTTTAACAATGAACTTCACTCTCCCTTTGAGTTTATTGCAACTCTCTTCAAGTTTTGGAATTTGCCAAAATCAATTTTTTATGAATCAATCTAGGATTTTGCATTTTCCATGGGAAATAAGTTGTCAGCAAGCTCATCAAAGTTGATGCACTTAGCTGAAGAAAAGGGAACGTTCTTATGCAACATTGGAATAAATGGAGGAAATGACAGGTTTATAGCATCAGTTGGACAGGATGTATTACTGAGACATCAATATTGTGAATATCACAATGACTTTGAAATGCAATAGACAGTGATGTGTATGTATACCAACATAAATTTCTTTCTCCAAATCGTTAGGAATCTTTGTGTTCTCTCTGAGATATTTTGACATCAATTTAAAAGTTCATCTTAAATAGAAGATTGCTTTTACACCGAAATGTTGAAAAGTAGACATTTTTTGTACTTAAAATCATGCCTAAAATCTTTACTTTCTTCCTCTAGCCATAGTTAATTACACAACATTTTACATCTACCATGTGACATCTCAAGCTTCAAGAATTTAAAAATTCCTAATGTGGTGTTGTGTTCAGAATCTTTTGGTTCTAAAATGAAGTCTTTTGTTGCAAGGAATATGGAAATATTGTTAAACTGAAATTTGAAGTGATTTTATGGTGGCATCATTAGGAAAGAATATAAATATTTTTCTTCATGACATGTCAATTTTGATGTTTCCTGGCAATGCTTTTTGTGGGAATGAATTTACCAAGGTTGCAGTGATCAGCTAACACAAATACCAGCCCACTGCTCTGACAAAATCATTTATCTTTAAGGAATGTTTTTTTAAAATAGTATTATTCAAGACAGCAGCCTGAAATATTAAATAGCTCTCATCAATAGCCTGAACACTTGAGGAAACCAGAGGCAGAAAAATTGCCAGTTTAACAAGCAAATATATTAAATGAGAAATAGTCTGATAACTAATAAGTTAAGTTATTGCTTTCCTTTGTCTCTTAGCACTACAGACTTCCAACTTTGAGCTTGGCATGTGCGAGTGGAATTCCAATCAGCCAGTTGTGCCTGCTTTGTGGGCACAACTGCAATCTGGGCACCAGATTCCTTCCTGTTCCTCTGTGAAAGTTCACAGCAATGACACTAAAGGTGAGAACTAAAGTTAATATGTAGTTCCTAGCTGTCATGGATAATTTGGTGCTTTGGGGGAAACAGTGGTGACCCAGTGTGGAAATAGAGCATGACAATGACAAGTAATTATATGAATTTATACTTAATTTAGATTTTGCTTTAGCTATTTAGTAAGGATGCTGTGAACGTGTGTGCTAGTAAGATGTAGAAGATTTTAATGAAAGAATTCCACTATAAATTAATAATCATGTTATTCTATACTTAATTCTTAGTAGGAGATCTATACAACAGGTCTTCAGTTAATTTAAATCCACTGAAGTTCTGGCATTGTTCCTCTGTTTTGTGTATTTTTCTATTGTTTGTTGTTTTGTTTTGATTCCTGGCTGTCTTACTTGTGTAGTATGACTCTGAGCATGTGATCAGGAAGTTAATTTTAAACCTTTACAAGTGAATAATAGAGAAAAGATAAATTTAAAAACGTTTACAATTTTAAAGACAACAGAAATAATACAGTTTTCAGAAATAAGGAAACTTCTTTTCAAAGCTTGTTTTTGTAGTGCTTATCTACAGATTTATGTAAGAAGTCTTTTGAAAGGTTAATGGATACAGATGTGTGTTGTAACATGAAATGGAATTGCCATGCCAACCAAGTGTTTGGTTTTTCAATAGAGACTGTCTTCAGAAGGGCTAAGTAACAACTGCTTGTAATGGTGTAATTTGTGATGCAGTTTTGAGGAACTGATAGCACGTGGCTTTCTGTTTGATCTCTGTGCCCACAGAAGTGTGCTCCATCTCACTGAAAGCAGAAGAATGAATGATTAGGTATTGTACTGATTTGAGAAACATTTTTAAATAAATTTTCAGCATTTATTTCAATAAAATATTAATCAAAAAGTGTGTAAGCTCTATTAAAATAAATTTCTGAAAGATAACATTTATGTACAACAGAGAGCATACAGATTAGTAAAACATATTTTATTTTGAAAAGAAAAAAATCAGTGCCTTTTAAATTTTCACATGGACATCTAACAACAATAAGTAATTGATATTGGTATGAGCTAGTAATTGGTATGGGTGTCTCTTTTATGGCAGTATTTTGTTAACAGAAATTACACTGAAATTATGTAAGTAACTTTTGCAGGAGTAAGGTATAAGAAACCTCTGTAGAAGCAGAACACATTCTGAAATGTCTATTGTATAGGTGCTTGAGCATTATTGTATAAATATTGTACTGAGAAGGCTCACACACAACACAAAGAACAGGCTGGAGAAGCTCTCTGTCCTTTGATATCAATCATAAAGGAAAAAAAAATGTGAGAACAAATAAGTGTCAAAACAACACACAGCAGTTAACTCTTAACATTGGAAGGTATTGAAAAATCTGAACTATGACAGCATCTCTTTCAATATAGTAATCATTTCAACTCATGCAGATTTTTAGATGAGTAAATTGAAAGGCTAGATATTAAATAAAATTCAGAAAGCTAGAGAAATTGTATGCAAACAGCAAAAATATGCTTGATGGCTCAAACTTGCAATGCAAATAGAGCTTTACTAAGCTTTAGTTTATGATTTTGATCAAGGCTTTTACTACTATAAATAGAAGAGAGGTAAGAAAATGAATTATGAGTCCGTGATCTAGGCAATTATATTTATAGAGAAAGGATTGTTTATAGGTTTTGAATAATCTTCCTTTCTTGGCATTCTTAAATTTAATAAAATGTTTTGTCCTTGGCTGACTTCTTTCTTTGTACTTTTATTGCTTCTTTTCTCTAGTGTTGTATTGTACTTCTCTACAATTTTTCTGTTAATTTCTCTAGGGTCAAAGGTTCTCACAGTGGTTTTATATTCTCCTTTAATATGTTCATAAAATACTTCTTTCTTTAGCATTGTTTCCTGCATACTATATCACTTCCATAATTTATTCTTATATTGGATTAATCTAGTTTCCTGCATCTGGGATAACATTTATTTATTTAATAAAAAACTAATGGAACCAATTCTTTATGTAACAAGAGCAGCGATTATGAGATTGAAGAAAAATAATAAAAGACAGCTTCATGTCTTTTAAAATTGGTATTTCATAGATAAATATTTTAAACATGAAAAAGTCTGATCTATTTTGTTGCATTAGCTTCTTTGTTGTTACTCTTTTTAAGATTCTTGCTCCTGACTTGGGAGTTCTTCAATATTTATATCCAAATAGTAGAAACAGTGGCAGATCAGATTTGAATCTTCTTCCCCAGAAGAGTTCAGTGGGAAATTTACAAGGGAGTTATTCAGGGAGAGCTGTCCTGCTATGGAAGAGAACTTGCTAGAAAGAAAGAGCTGACATTCTTTGACTCGGTTTTATCTGAAGGCTCAGTTGTTACTCTAGAAATTAATAGCATAGATTAAAAGTCAAGAAAATCTAGCCAAACAGCTAGAAGCTCTTTGCATTTATTGATCTCTTTCAAATAGAATGGGTTACATCTGTAATATTTTTCTTTCTATCGTGTCTAACTGCTGTGGCTGTGAATTATGAAAAAGTAAGGAAATAGTAAGGAATTATCCAAAGAAATTGCAAGCATGTATTTTGGTATGAAAGGTTGCATATCATGAAGTGTAAGCGGACAACAAATGGAAAAGAATGTGGTCCCTTATAAAAATCAGAGTTTTTCCTTGCGAAATGAGAGTTTCTCCCTTCAGCTTGAAATAACTTTGGTAACATCTGCATCTGAAATAACTTGCATTCAGGCACGTGAATATAGAAATTTCAAATTCAAGACCTTTAATCAAAGTTTATTATAACACCTGCTTCAGAAGATAGCAAAATAGTCAGTGACTCATGAGAGAGGAGGAAACAGATTTACTATGTTTGATAAAGCATTTAGCCTTTTTATTTCTGACAGATAAAAGACATTGAAGGGATGGGGTACTCTTTTAAATCTCTGTAGGAATGCTTTTATAAAGGGCAATAGGTCAAGAAGAGCACAAATTGCTTTTCTGCTTCAGATGGAAAGACAATATGCTCTCAACACTTTGTTGCAGAAATTCTGGCTTAGAACTGAAGACCTTAATTACGTATGGTGGAGATGCTATTGCCTCCTGTAGCAGTAAGGAAGAAGAATGCTTTTCCCCTTATTTTGATAATTCCACAGAAGTATTACTATAAAAGATGGTTTTTGGAAAATGTAATAGAAAGGAAGAAGTTTCCAAATACATTTGAGAGTAGGTATCAAAGTGTAGCTGCTTACAGCTTTCAATGCAGCAAGTGACAAGTTCAAGATACTGTCAACTGATGTCATTCCCGGTTTCTGGGGAAAATGCAGATAGATATCTATCTTGTTAATAGGAAATGCTTAGGTAACATCCAAGTCACATAATCAGCATGACAGTCAGATTCCACTGTAAGAGGAATGGGGCCATGGTTTAACTGTAGCAAAGCAATTCTTATTTTCAAAGGCTGAGACATACAAGATTTGTTTTGTGAAAGAGCTCTTTTTTTTTCTTTTTTAATTTTTTAGGCCATTTAGTGTGTCTAGAAGCTAATGACAGTGCATTATACAGAAGTGCTTATCTAAACAGCTCCATGTGTCATTGCTCCAGCAAGAGCTGCCATTTTCAATTTCAGTACTCCATGGCAGATAACAGCGTTCTCAAGGCAGTGCTGTACACCAATCAGGTAAGAAGCATGAATTACTTTTCAAACGTTCCAGATCCAACAGCCCAACTCTTTCCAGCCAAACTGCAAGGAAACAAACAATACCACATGCTTACCTCTCAATTAGTTTGTGTAAACAGTCACTTTGCATTGTTTCACTGTTGAATGCAGTTGTAAAAACTGGATATTTGCCTGTCTCCTATAAATTAGTGTGGTGGTGAATGTTCTGCAATAAGACTTCAAGGGGAAGCCCTAACTATTACAGACTGAAATGATTTGGGAATTTTAGGGGAAAATCTATAGTAGCAGAATTTGTAGTGTCCTCTCTGCACTGGAAATGAGAAAAACAGCATCAGGAATGCTGAACTAAGCTTGTTCTCAATGAAGTCACAGGATGAAGTTACTGACTTAGTATGCCTGGAAAGCTCTTGCTTAGCCACCTGATTCATTTTGTGGACTGTTATAGTGCAGTAATTTTCTTCTACCATTAGTAGATACAGTAACCATGTCAAGCTGAAACACAAATGACAATTGGATAGTAACAGTTATTTCTTCCTTAGCTCCCTTGCCCTGTGGAATCTTTCTGCCAATGGTCAGGTGATCTTGCTGATGTGTCTCATATCTTGATGTTGGATTTAAGTTATTTTTATCCCACAGCACAAGCTGGTCTAACTAATGCTTAGTTCACAAAGCTAGAATGCAAAAACCTGAAGTATAACACTTGTCAAGGGGTCTAAATATAGGAACATGTAACAAACATCTTATTTCTCTGCCATTATATCTTCAAGCATTTATGAAAGACTGCAGGCTCTTTTTTCTTTTTTCTTTTCTTTTTTTTTTTTTTTTTTCCTCCATCAATAAAGAGGATGTGTTTTTTTTTCCTGTGACCTGCTACCATACAGGGAATTATAATGTATTCTGGTCAGAATACATTGATATTTGCAACGTTGAAAGACACTGAGAATGGTGATGTCTATGGTTTGCATAGGCAAAAACAATGGATTCTATTTAAGTTTCCTTTTCAGGGGAAAAACAAACAAACAAAAAAATATGTAAGCACACACACCAAACAAACAAACAAAACAACAACAACAAAACAACAACAACAACAACAACAACAACAAAAAACACCATGAGAGAACTTGTATTTGAATACAGACTCATCTGGAAGACTTAAATGAATGGAAGCAATAACTTCTGTATATTTTGCTGCTTAATTGTTTATGAAAAAACAATGAATTTTCAAAAGGAGATAAATATTGAGCAGAAATGAGAATCCAGTGTTGATTCTGATTACGGAAAATAAAGTCTATCTTGGAGCTCGTCATTCAAAATAACCTCTCAGTTATATGATCTAGTGCAGTTTTCTCACTTTTGCTATGTTTAGTGGTTAAAACCTCCAGCCTTGGATTAACTCGTACTATGGCTCTGTACAGATAAGCCTGACATAGCAACTAGATTGTATTTAATGTACACCTCTCAGTTCAGCTCTGCACTGCAGATGCTACCAGTGTATTCCTAGACTTCCTCACCCCTTTTAAAAGAGAGACCAGAGATGAGTAAGAATATTTTCTAAAATGGACATTACGACATTAGATGGATGACAGGGAATTTGAATTGTTCTTTGATATGGAGTGTAGAGAAAATTATTGGGCTTTTGTTTATTTGTTATTTGTACTAAATCTCAATTTGCTTGAAGAATGTCCTGTGAGGTTTTAAAAAGCCTTAATAAAGTCCAGACATTTCCATTTTTTTTCAATGTTGTTTATAATGTCGAGAAAAAACAGATTATACTGGCTGAATGTGACTTTCCCATCAACAAAAACAACTAGTGTAGGTCTCTCATTTTTGATTCTCTGGCTACTATTGTTAGCAATTTGTTCCAGTGTCCTAGAAGTGGTCAACTGTCAGCTAGCTGTGCTGTAATTGTGTATTTTGTATCATTGTATATTTTGTATATTTTTCCCTTACCTATAACAGAGAACTGGGAAAACAAAGGATCTGTAATTTCTTCACAATTTTTCAGTTGTTTGTTTGCAGTAAGATATTTCATTCACTATGTATTCTTTATTTTAGTACTACTTTCCTTCCCAGTTTCAGTACTTTAGGCTTATGTATATTTAATATTCTATCTCAGCCAATGACTGCATTCACGTTTGGCAGTGTTAATCATCTTCATCATTCAATAAATTGAACACTTTTTTTTTTTTTTTTTACTTTCAGTTTTCAAGTAAGATACTGTTGACTTCAGGCTATCGTGTTCTCTCTATTACTTATGTTTCCAATGAAGTAATAAGCTTATATTTCTGTCTTTTAACTTCTTAATCTTTGTGTCTTGTATGGCCTACAAAAAAGATGGATATATATTAAAAATAAAATAGCCCACAACTTCTGTTTATATGTGCAGGCATGTTTTTACACTAAGACATTAAAATTTCAGCAAGTGCTCAGCAGTACTGGCAAAACCCATGCCACTACACTCATCTGCAGAAGTAAAAGATTGTGCATTAATCATTTTGAAGGAACAAATAAGACTTTGTTCTAAATTACACTGAGATGAAAAAAGCTGGAACAAAATGATGAGAGCAGCTGCACAGCAGTATGTGAAAGTATCTGTAGTGAGATGTCAAAAATAAAAAATGCTGTAGTTTAGAAAATGAGTTGATAAGAAAAAGTCATGATAATCTCTTTCATTCCTCAAATCTCAGTAGCATTATCTTAGGAAAAAAATGATAAGAAGAAACAAATCCTATAATTCTTGTACATTTTAGTCTTACAAAACTTGTTTGCAGATAGTGTTATATCAATGTAAAGGGAATAGACAGAAGGTATTTTGAACAACTTCGCTGCATCACTAACATAAATCTCAGGAGAAAGTACAGTAAAACTGATACACTGAACCTTCTAAAAGACAGCAAGAGAAGCAAGGAATGTGCTAGAGAGTCTAATCCATTTGTAGAAGTATTGAAAGTAACACTACAGAGAAACATTGTGAAGATGGAAAATATTGTGTGTTATTGGCTTATTAGAGCTGTACAAAATCAGAGGGTAATGTAATGTCTATAATACAATAACTGACTTGGAAAGTTGTTGCCCCTGATGTCAGTGTGAAAACAGCCCTGGCAAGTCTGGATGCTGCAAGCAGAAAAATCAATAGTCTACTTCCACAAGCTATCTTTATTCAAATAAATTGGGAAGAAAGGTAGCTATGAGAATGGGTACCTAAGTGGTTAATCAAGTGTGAAAAAAAAAATTGTAGTTAGCAGATACATGCAGGCTTCTTTCAAATATGTGTACCTTGTAGGAATCCTCTGCATTTACTGTTTACTGGTATGTATGTGTGTAGGGATGTATGCATACCCAGATATTGTCACTCATATATTACTAAAAGAAATCATTTAAACTACGGTTAAAATCAGGCTATACTTTTAACTAGTCATGAAGTGCGCTTTCTAGTAAACCATCCTTGTCTGTGTCTTATATCTGGATGTTGCAGACTTTTTCTGGAAACTGAATTATTTAGCAAAAAGAAGCATGATTTGCACAGCTTGAATTGTCCTCAGTATTGAAAGTCTTTTGATAAGCAACTATGAGTGCATAACAAGTGAACTAGTAGAAAAATACCCACATCTTATACTAATGTGAAAACTCAAAACTGACTTTTATGTGGCTTGTATGTCATATGGCTTGTCCAAATTTGTTCTCTTATCATTTTATGCTTGGAACTAGGATATTGACTTAGCCCTGTCCTACAGTTTTCCAAAACTAATTTTTGAATGCTTACTCAATGGAGTAATGGTCTTTCAACTTTTTTAACATGTTACAATAGTGGAATCCTTCGTAGGAAAGAGGGTAAGTACTTGTATATTGCAAGGCAGAAAAAAGATAACTCTCCTTGTCTATGAAATTGATGGAATTTCTTAACTTACGATATTTCCATTTATTCGTCTTACATAAGTACACTTAATATTCTTTCAAATTTTCTCTGTACAACATACTTTCTTTTTCTCTTATCCTGCTTCGTATCTTTTTTGCTTGGTTGGTTTTGAACTGCTTCTAATTTTGTAATATCCTTTGTGGAAAAGCTTTGACAAATTCTTTGCATAGTATCACAATAGGGGTCTCACCTCACAGTTTATTTGTGTTATTGTCTGTTTATTTATATCCTATATTAAATTTTCCTACTCTTCCCCTTTCCTCTCCCTTCAGCTTTCTTCTTTTGCTCTTTTTGGTGCAGATTCTTGAGATTTTATTCAGGGCTTGGAAGTTCACATTACTATACTCCTTTTCTTTACATTGGTCCCATTGTTTTCCAGTTGGGATCACAACAAGAAGCAGAACAAAAATGTTTTTTTTTGTCAGATTGTTACATTAAGGGGGCTTTGAATACTTGCGTAAAGGGAACCTTAGTATGTTGCTATCATTTCCAGGAGGTAAAGTAAAAATGGGAATTGAAGTAACTGAAAAAAATACAGATTAAGAAAACATGTTTTCTTTACAGTTTATTGGGTAATTTTGACAGACCTCAAAGTTGCTTTCTAAGAAAGAAAACTAAATCTCATAGTAACACAACTTATGAGGAATAATTATTTCTAAAAGAGGAGCTGGTGTCGAGAATGCCATGGAAATATATAGTTAAAGCCAGCAATAGTATGGTTTAATTTACGTATCATTCATGCTAATTAAATACCACATTAGCTTCTAATAATTAATAATAACTCATTTAATCACTGTAAATATTTGTTTGCCTCGCTTCACAGAGACTGATGCAAAGATTGCAAATTAATTTCTGATGTTGTATTTCCTCACAACTACGTATACGGTGATGATCTGTCTAGGGTATTAAAAAAAAACAACAACAATTACTGTAAGTGACTGATCAAAAGAAGGTCAAAAGATAACTTTTAACGTTATACCATAGGAGGAGTATGTCTTGTGGGAAAGCAACATCACGACTAACAAAGAATGGGCCAAAGCGTATATACGGATACCAACAGGGCTAGAAAAATTAAAGGTATGAGTGAAAAAGGCAAGTGCTTTGTCTTTTGAAAACGCTTTACCTTGCTGTCTGTAAATGTTTTAGGATATGTAGAAATTTGTTAAATTTGTATATATATCCTGAAGGGCTCTGTTCCTCATTACTTCAGTTGAGTAAAGCTCTGATCACAGGTCAGTAATCAGTGTACAGCATGAAACTATTGGCCTTAGTAACATGCAAGAAAAAGCATACATATCTCAGCATAGTTTAGCAGAGCAACTGAGTCCATCTTAGTTATTAACAGTTCGTTTAAATACAAATGTCACTGTGGGATGATGTGAATGATTGTGTGATTTCAGTGGAATAGCATGAATGAAGAATTGGGAGAGTATCTCCCCCTTGATTTTTTCTTTTTAATTTACAGAAAAGAATTAAAGGCTTCTATTTTAAATAATTTTGTCAACATTTTCTTTTTTCATTCTAATGTGAATTACTTTTATAACTGACTGTTTCAACAATCTGCTGAATCTCTGTGAAAAGGCAAAGACCAAGCCTACTGTGAGCACTGACACTTTGATGTGTATCAAATGAATGCATTTCAGCAAGGTGCTGTATTACAAATTATTGTCACTTGCATCTCCTTTGCCTGTAAGAAAAAGTATATATAAAGAACCAGATGTGTATAAGATCATCTGTAGTATCCAAAAACAAACAATTCTGAAGATGTTTTATGCAGCCAAAATGTTTCTCTGTTATACAGAAACATCACGATCACTTGTGCTTAGGGAAAGCAAAGGTACTGTAATTACATAACCATGTAATATTTTTAGTGTTATTGTTTTTTTTTTCCATTTGAACAACTAGAGAACTGACAATGGTAGAAGATTTTGTAATATTGGATATTGACTTCAATGGAAAATGCTTCTTTAGATTTCAAAGTAAAGGGCACAGGAAGTTAGAGAAAGTTATCTGCTTATGTCTCAAAGTGTGTTTTCTCTAGTTTCTCTCTGTTCTGTCTGAAATCCTTGCCCTTTTCTTCCCTTGTGCTTTCTGCCCCCTGCACATGACTACACCGGGGCGCTGCTGGATATTGGTGGTGACTATCCCCACTTTACGTAATTCTTGCTCCTTTCCTATCACCTGCTTTCCCTAGCCCATCATCCTAATTTGTAATAGTTGCCAGCCTCCCCTTCCCCATCTCTCTGATTGATTAGGATTTGTAATAAACTGGTCGGATGGACCAGTGAGACAGTTGGAAATTTGTCATCTTTTTCTAATGGAAGGCTTCCAGTGCTTTTTTCAAATAGGGCATTACTGTTTCACAGTAGGAAAAAAAAGTTTCTCTGTCTGTTAATGCAAATATTTTAACTTTAACAATGCACAGCTGACACTTAAGGGAACAATCCAGAGCAAGACAGGCTTCATCTGTTTAAATAACATCCAGTTTTTGGACATTGCACGCTCAGAGCCTTCAGCTTTCAGCTCTGTAGAAGAATTCGCCTTCACTAATGGGAAATCTACTGAGCCTGGATCGTCCTGTGTCTTTTACCCAGATTGCTCTGACAACACTGATGAGGATCCAGGAGCTTGCTGTAAGTGAATTTTAGAAGGATAAAGTGCTGAAGAGAATAGTGAAACCTAAATAGGTCTATCCAAGGAATGGCAAGAAAATAAAATAAGAAAACTTACTTCTACTACTTCTTTTTTTTCTAGTATATTTCCTGTTATAGGAATTTATGACCATGTTCACAGTGTATTGCTTCTTTTTTTCTGCTTTGTATTTCTTTGCCTGATCTTAGGAATATGTTTTTGGTTTAGAAAGGTGAGTAGGACCACAAAATTTTGTGCATTTTTGTCTAAATATATCCCTTGCCTTCAGTGTTTACGATCCATAATTCTTTAATTTGAAAGGAACTGAAATCTGCCACAGAACTTCATTTAGAACAATTCTTTAACTTAGGCTGTCAGAGTTTTTGGGAGAAGATATATTGGGTGACATGAGCTATATTTCAGGTTTATCTAAATCATATTTTCAGTTGAAGGTAACTTTGCTTAGAAGACGTAGTTTTCACTGTAGCGTCAAAAGAAAAAACAGGAAAGAAAATTATGGAAAATGTTTGAGAATTGTTAAATGATTTAGACCTCAGTTTAAAAGTATTTTTAGAGACTGCAGCTTTTAAAATAACTTTTTTGATGAGTGCGCTTGTTTTCTAGGGACAAAAAATGACAAGCTATTTTTATTGACAGCAACACATAAATGTGTGTTGCAGATGAAAACTGTATGCATATTTCAGATATTAGTAATGATATAAATTATTTTTGGGATAGCAGATTAAAACGTTGTGGGTCACTCAGAGAAGCAAGATGGAGGACACTATTAATGTTTTATTTTCAAATTCACTGAGAAGATTCAGGAACAGTTTTTGACTGAGTTCTCTTTATTTCACAGTTTTAACCTTTTGTTCCTTTCAAACACTTTAAGAGCCATGCAGTAACTATCTATGAAACAAGTTATATGTGTGAACATTGAAATGCCATTTTAAATATGAAGGTTTATACTACTCTATGCCTACAATCTATTACACATTTTAATCTTAAACCCTGTGGCTTGGACAGTGAGATTTGGCACTGTGTAATTGAAAAACAGTAGCCTGAATATAGTCAGTGTGTAATTATAGTGAACGCGAAAAGTCAGTGGGAGTCACCAGGTAATATTGCTTTTATTGTAGTTGGGTAAGAAAAACTGGAGAGTGCACAGAAAGAAAAGATTAGGGAGTCAATGCTGTCCTTTGTGGCACCTTTGGAATTAAGGTCTTGACCCAGGGAATGCACAATCCTTTTCCAGAACTGTGCCTAGCATTCTGTTATCTGCTGTTGCCTCTGCAGTTTCAGTGGGTTTACCACGTGGCACTGATTATCAGTTCACTTCTAGTATGTTTTAATTTAAAGAAATTAAGTTTAACAGTTTCTCAATTTAACCCGAGATATTGAGATTATATGCTTCAGTTTGTGTGTAAGCACTTTCAGGTTAAAGCTCTCATCTTGTTTGATCAGTGCACAAAAGTATGCAAAACGTGAGGAAAAAGTGATTTTCTAAAATATGAGTGAGTCATAGCAGATGTTTGATTCTTTGGTCTAATAACTGAGAAGAAAGAAGACAGAAAAACTTTAAAATAAAAAAGACTCTTTTTAAGGTTGTCTATTTTAATGGCTAATACTTGAATACTTCATATGTACACCCCTTTTCAGGAAAGAGAACTCTGAAGGTGAAACTTGTTTCTTCAGCAGTTTGATCAGCTTAGAAAAATTGTCTTTCTGGCACTTTCTGCAGCCTAGAACAAAAGAGACCTAAAGCAAAATCTGTCCTATATTTTTCTTTTGTTCCTTTCTTCCCATTGTGTACATTTTCCACGTCGTCTTGACATTGTCCTCTGTGATATTTTGAGTGAACTTTATCTATTCACATTAAATTCCAATACAAATTTCTATCTGGTACAATAGGGTATATTTTAGCCTCTATTCTTTTAGGTATTCTAGCATTTATCCTTGAACATTTCCTCAGTAGTTTTCTTTGATGGAGTGCTCTCATGATGCAGAGCTGTCAGACCTCTATACTGAATAAAAACAAAGGCAAACAGCTGCTTCTTAGAAATGTGAAGGATTCTTAACTTTAAGGTTTTTCTTTGCTTCATTGCAGTAGGGAAGGAAAACCAATGTTTCTTCTTGCTCAAGTTAACTTGACATGAATGGATGTGAAAATGTAGTTTATTGTAAGAACTTAGATGTACTTATGTTTTATTGTATTTCATAATTTCTGTCTATTTATATAAATACGATTGAAAACTTGAAAAATCTGAACTTCTGTAGGAAGAAATTTTGTTCAATTTTGTGCTATGTAACAGTCTTTGAAATCAATGAAATTAATGAAGTGAAAAAAATATTAAATGTTTTTAGTATTAAATAGAGATCACTTCTAGATCTCTTATATCATAGTGAAAAATGAATGAACAAATCCTAGTTAATAGAAACGTGGAAAGTGAGAGTTCTTAGATCATTTGAAAGATTAAAAAGACCACTTTCATGCTGATGTCAGAATCCTCCCATGCTGATGCCCGTTTCTTTATTTGTCATCTAATCTAAGGAAGTTTTGCATTACTATGCCTAGTATCAAGCATTGGAAGCAGTATGGTTACTGTTACATATTTTTAAATTTGTAACATACATACTTAGTAAACACTGCAAGTCGTGCTTGGCAAGAAGTTCTGGGAGCACTTCCTATTTTCTCTTTGAAATAGTAGTCTTTTTGGAAATTGCCTACTCTTCAATGTTTGTATAGAAATCATAGAATTACAAGATTGAGAACAACCTTCAAGATCATCTTGTTCAACTGCCCTCCCATTACCATTGCTACCACAAGCTAATAAACCATATCTCATAGCTCCTCATCCAGATGCCTCTTGAACACTGACGGGGATGGCGACTCCACCACCTCCCTGGGCAGGCCATTCCAATGTCTGACCACTTTCTGAGAGAAAAAGTTCTTTCTTATGCCTAACCTAAATCTCCTGTGGTACAACTTAGGACCCAAGGAAATGGCCACATTTGTTGCCTGGGAGAAGAGGTCAAACTCCTCTTCATCACAGCCTCCCCTCAGGATGTTGTAGAGTGCGATAAGTTCTCCTCTGAGCCTCCTCAATCCCAGCTCCCTCAGCCGCTCCTCATAAGACTTGTGCTCCAGACCCCTCACCAGTTTTGTTGCCCTTCTCTGGACACAGTCTAGGGCCTCAATGTGTTTGGTTTTTTTTTTTTTTTGTAGTGAGGGGCCCAAAACTGAACACGGTAATCAAGGTGTGACCTTACCAGGGCTGAGTACGGGGGGATGATTACCTCCCTTCTCCTGCTGGGCATGTTATTTTTAATGCAGGCCAGGGTGCCATTGGCCCTCTTGGCCACTGCTGGCTCATGTTCAGCTGAGCATCAACCAACACCCCCAGTCCCTTTTCTTTTCACAGTCGTCCAGCCGCTCATGCCCGCCTATAGCGCTGCATTGGGGTTACTGTGGCCAAAGTGCAGGCCTCAGCACTTGGCCTTGTTGAACCTCAGCCCAGTGATCCAGCTTATCTAGACCCCTGTGAAGGGCCTCCCTACCCTCAGGCAGATCAACACTACTTCCCAACTTGGTGTCATTTGCAAACTTACTGAAGGTACACTAAATCCCTTCATCTAGGTCATCAATAAAGATATTAAACAAGATGGGCCCCAGTACCGACCCCTGGGAGGCACCACTTGTAATGGTTCATCAGCTGGACCACTCTGTTAACCACTACCTGTTGGGCATGGTGCTCTAGCCACTTCCTTATCCAAAGAAGGGTATACCTGTCCAGACCAAATAGATGCAAAATGTTTGTGAGAAGGGACATCCTCCATGTGTATCTGAAAGAAAATCAGCTTCCTTTTAGTCTGAAAACTACCTGTCTGTAGTTTAACTCTATTTTTCATTTCTAATAAGTATGTTTGATTTTTTTTTCCCACCATACACTCATAATTAAATTTCCAGTAAAATTCATCTCTGAAAAAAATACAATTACACATCTGTAACTGATGGCAGCCTATGTATAGATCTCACGCTTAATAAGATACAGTTTATTCATTTATAGGTGATTTCTTTTGCAGTTCTGAGTTTAAGAATGGAGGGACCTGCCTGATTTATTGCCTGTATACTTTACAACTTTTTCTCCAGCCAAAAAAATCCACATTTCAGTGGAACATACCAGTGATTTCTTGATTAAAACTGCTTTTACATCCAAGTATAAAATACTGTAGAATTGTCATTAAAATGTTACATCCAGTTCAACTTAATTATATCTTGTTCTATGTACAACAGCTAATTACACTGTATGTAATTTTGACTCTGACTTCTGTGGATGGAAAACACTGAACACGAGTGGTACTAAGTGGAACATAATGAAAGAAGGGGCTCCCTTTGACAGCAGACTCCCTGACAGAGATCAAGCAACTATATCTGGACATGGTGAGAGATTATATACACATACATGAAACGCTCTCAATGATGCCTATCTGATGAAACTGAATTTGAAATGTATGCTACGTAGTACATATATAATATAGCTAACATTACAGAGAACCTGTTTTTCAAGGATGTTTTTTCTTAGATATTATATGGTTGCTGTGTCTTTATAACCTTGCTTTTGTTTGCTGGACAATTGAAGAAAAATGAGACTGGATGCAACATTGAATTTTTTGAGATCATACATTTTGACCATACATAGCTAACTTTGTTCACACATTTGATGATCACTTTTGGTTCCAACATTCACAAGGGCTTTTTCAAAAATATTTAGAGAAAAAACCACTGTAGTTTTTTTTTATAGAGTACAGGTAAATTGATTTTTCTCCACGATAAACCGATATCTCTTTCTCTACCCTTAGCTGCTATAAAATGCACTCAGTTGGAAAAAATTGATTCCAACAGAGAGTTAGTTTATTAATTTTATTCTGAAATTGAAGTGTTATTAACATACTGTTTAAACCTGCCTAATATGCTTGTTATTATCTAATAACACTTGCAAATATTCTGTGACTTTTCTTGTATTAAAATGTAACTATTATGGTGCTTCCAATGGAGACTGGACTGCTATAGACTATATTCTTTTAAATTAATTTTTGCAATGGTGTATATTATACTACATTCAGACCTCCATGCTTCTCTCACATGTTCACATTAGAGGAAAGTGAAACTTTAATTACTCTACCTTAAATATTCAATGGCAAAAGAATTTCAAATTTGTTTTCTGGGTAAATTCTAGTGGGCTGTGATTATGTGTATGCATGTTATCTAATAACTCCTATTGCATGTTCATATGCTACTGGTCCCTGAGTGGTGAAGTGCAACAAATGGTTGCTGTTTGCTTTTTGTGTAGCAGTTGGGTATTTTATTTTATTGTCACACTAGTAGAAGGTCAAAAGTCTTCATTAGTGTGTTCTCTGCAAATGTTGCTGTTTCTCAGCTTCCCATTGCTCACAGCTCCAGAAAAGCTGGAGCACCCGATGTAACTGCAGATTTCCCATGTGGGTTATTCTAGGCACTGGTGAGATGTAGTTGTAATGAAGGCGGCCTGGAGAAACTTCTCTGCAGTGTAACAAGCATGTTAAATTAACCAGTATGGGCTATAGGTCTTAAGCTGCTTTGATATCTGAATTATTTCATAGTAGGTTTGTGTCTTTATAGAGTTACAGGCTGCAGGTTGAAGCCTCTACCTCAAGCAGACCTTGAGGTTACCACACAGTAACTCTCAAACCCAGTAATGATGCATTCCCCGTGTAAGTCAATGCAAAGGTTGTTCTGGTGTGGTTTTGTAACAGTCTATTACTGTATCTGTTTTAGCCACATCACAGCTTTGCAATAACGCTTTCAGAATTTGAGCAATTTTTTGTCAATGTTAAATCAGAACTTTCTGGTTTAAATAGTTATCTGTGATATCGCAGTGTTCATCTTTCTTCTTTCCTGGGGAGGGCAGCATCAAATTTTGATTAATGAAAATCTTAAGGAGACTACTGTAGAGCCTCAGCTGCAAATTAAAAGAGGATCCTTTGATGTGTCTTTGCATTGCAATGAGGGGAGTTTCCCTCATGCCATGGAGTGCAGCATGCCTGCTTGTACACAGAGCTGGAATGGTTACCTCTTTGTGTCAGTCTAGCTAAAGATCTGTGACTATTCACATGGGGTTGGACCTAACCCTCTGCTTCATTATGTATCCATGGGAAATAAATGGCTATGGAGTGTGACTGAGGCAGCACAATAGCTGATTTTCCAAGATGTAAGGCAATATGTGTGTAATATCAATGTAGAAACAAGACAGCCTTTAGTGTTGTTTTGCATAGACTTTCGTGAAAAAGTCTCAGTATTCAGTGAAGGCAGCACTGACGGCATTCAAAATATGCTGCTTTAGGGCCCCTTGAAGATGTTTATCCTTTCCTACCTTTGTTTGAAGCACATCTGCTGTAGTTCAAATCCAAAGGCAGTTTGTTTGCCAGGGTTCAGATTAGATCTTTAATTAAGCTTTCATCCCCACTAGCACAGACAACAATGTCAAGTCTGTAGACCCCATGAGAAAATATAGCTTATTCCATTGGCTCCCATGGCCTGCAACATTGTTAGTGTGCTTAAAACTGTTTGGGCTGTGAGGAGAGTGAGTACTGTATCCTAAAGGAAATCAATTTTTATTCTAAATTCAGTTTGTAACATTATTAAAACCAATTTAAATGTGTCCTTTAGGGTTAAGCTGTGGTCTACATGGTTCGGTCTCCAGGGTGCTGTTCTCCAGCAGTCCCTTTGCTCTCCCCACATTGTGATAAAGCCTGAGGGAATTGGTGTAAACAAGGTGATGACATTCACTTGGAGGACAGAGGTCTGAAGAATTTTGCCTGAAGAGGGCAGAGGATGATGCATTCAGTACATCTGCACAGTAAAGTCAGAGGAACTGCAAGTGAACACCTCTTTGCAGAACTTTATTTCCTGAATTTTGAGATCTTGAAGATGCCATAAGAAGATAGTCTTAGAGTTAAATCTAGCTGGCAGCCAATCATGAGTGGTGTCCCCTGGGGCTTGGTACTGGGACCACTCCTATTTAACATCTTTACCAATGGTCTTAATGAGGGAATTGAACGCACCCTTGGTAAATTCATGGATGGCACTAAACTGGGAGGGAGTGTTGATCTGCTGGAGGGCAGTAAGGGCACTACAGAGTGACCTGGATAGACCGGATCAATGGGCCAAGGAAAACTGTATGAGTTTCAGTAAGGTCAAGTGTCAGGTCCTACATTTGGGTCAGAACAACCGCAGGCAACTCTACAGGCTTGGAGAGGAGTGGCTGGAAATCTGCCTGATAGAAAGGGATCTTGGTGTACTGATGGACACTTGGCTAAATATGAGCCAGCAGTGTGCCCAGGTGGCCAAGAAAGCCAGTGTCATCTTGGCTTGTATCGGGAATGGAGCAGGACTGTACTTGGCACTGGTGAGACCCCACCTCGAGTACTGTGTTTAGTTTTGGGCACCTCAATACAGAAAGGATATTGAAGTGCTGGAGCAGGTCCAAAGAAAGACAACAAGACTTGTGAAGGGCTTGGAGAATATGCCCTATGAGGAGTGGCTGAAGGAACTGGGGCTGTTTAGTCTGGGGAAGAGGAGGCTGAATGGAGACCTTATTGATCTCTACAAATACCTGAAAGGTGATTGCAGAGAGAGTTGGATTGGTCTCTACTCACTGGTGACAGGTGGCAGGACAAGGGGAAATGGCCTCAAGTTGCACCAGGGGAGGTGTAGGTTGTATACCAGGAAAAACTTCTTTACTGAAAGGGTTGTTAAGCACTGGAATATGCTCCCCAGGGAGGTGGTTCAGTCATTATCTCTGAATGTGTTTAAAAACCATTTGGATGTGGTGTTCAGGGATGTGATTTAGTGGTGGATTGTTAGAGTTAGGGTACTATGGTTAACTTGATGTTGGACTTGGTGATCTTGAAGGTCTTTTCCAACCTGAGCAATTCTATGATTTTAGCAATGGCTGCAGAAACACCTTTTCGAATTCACCCTCTTTCCTAATCTTTGGACTTTATTGCTGAGGAAAGAGCCAGGAGCACAGGAGCATTCAGCAGTTGTTTTTCCTTTGTTTGTGCAGATATTGGTTGTCATAGGCTGGTACAGTTCTCTCCTCTTTATTCATAGGGGTAGAGCTGAAGGTAATGCTGTTCCATTTATTTACATTTATGAGTAATTTTCATGTGCCTCACTGAGCACATAGTTACCTTTCTGAGGTAATTATTTGCCATTGGAGCATGACATATTTCTTGTATTTCTTTGAATTTTGTTTACAGAAACATTCATCTACTTCAGTGGATTGTATCAGATGCACACAGAGATAGCTGTGTCTGATTTGGGGAGTCCCTTCCTTGTCAAGCTGTCCCCTGGTTATTCCTGCTGTCAGGTAAGTTTTGGACGTTAATCTGCTCCAACCTTTGTAAGCTATCAGTCACCTGATGTGTTGAAACGCTATTTTTCTTGCTTCTAGCATTGCTGCAGAAAAACTAGCTCCATTTGAATTACTGCAGAATGAGAAACAGACTAATATTTTAGGAGCAGCGAGGTACTTTTTTTTTTGCCTGCTTTGCTGCATTTGTATCTGGTTATTATTCTTTCTAGAGCTTCTATGAGTTGGCTCAGATTTAAGGATATTCTTTAGAGGCTTTTTATGCTGTGAAAAACATAGCTGAACAATATTACAAGGGCTGTATCACCGCATAGTCAAATCAAGCCACCCTTTTGAGCCAAAGCTGGCAAAGAATCCTCATGCTGTTATCTGTTAGCTCTGTTAGCTGGACATTCCCATTTCCAGCTTTTCTTTACGGATCTGTGGTTTGAATTTTCTACATGGATTGAATGTGATAGAATAATTGGAGAGAATTGGCTTTCATGCTTCAGACATGTACTAAGTTTTATTAATTGAAGAGAGTGCTTATTAAACTGAACTGTGCAGTCATTAACCATTTAACTTGTAGTTCGGTTTTGTTGTTGTTTATCAAATATCTTATAGCTCTTTAGAGAAATGCAAAAGTGAGAATGGCACTTGACCCGAAAAAATAGAAAGATAACTGGAAAAAGGGGGATCAGGAGTGCTATTAAGAAAGGAAGAAAAGAGAGCAAGTCTGAGAGTTAAATATGAGAACAGCATTTTCTCATTAGAATGTTGCCATTTTCAAGAAAATTATTTTATAGTTGAAATTCAGGAAATAGCGCAGAAAAATAGCAGAAATTTATTCTCAGCAGCATGAGGGCCTCATAGGCTGAGGGATCTGAAACAAGTGTTTGTTTAAATAAATCTGTTGTATTTGATGCTGTAGCTGACAGCCTACGCACATCGGTGAGTTACCAGATCTCAGCTAAATAGTTGCATCTTGCAGCTGAGTGGAAGCATTGTAAACAGCTTAAGAATACTTTTCTATCATTTTACACAATCTGCCCCTCCCTGATCTTCATGTGTCATCGTATTGTTGTGAAGAATTACAAATAAAATAGATGCAGAATGAAATCGAGCACAATGCTGCTGCAAGGAATACCGAAAGCCTCTCATAATCCCATCAGAGGCCTATCCCACTAGACTTGGAGTACCAACAACCTTTGTGCATACAGTGCATTCATCCAGGCAGTTTCAAATCTCTTTTGTAGAGTTTGATAGCAGGTAGATATGTACTTTTCAAGTTCAGATAAATTCATCTTAGAATCTTTTAAGGTTACCTGGGCAGAACTAATTTGTAAGTCAATGAGTAGTCCCAGTTAAGACCTCTTGCAGTGTTCGGTATGTATTCCAAATAAACATAAATTCAGTAGAGATGCACGTGCACTTCTTCAGTGTAGTCAGAAATTAAGGGTATTTTTGAGCATGCACATATTGTGTATACTTAAAGACCCAAGATTCAGCAAAAAAAAAAAAAAACAACAAACCAAAAAAACAGTGAAAGTTCTCATCCTGCTATATATGTCTGAAAAAAGAGTGTTTCTGAAAACTGGAAGCTTGGCTTTCTGCCACATTTTCCCTGTAGGCTTTTATTTCTGGGAAACAGCAAGGAATAGCAGTTGCTCATTAGGATGTGTATTGATGTGTTATGTTCTCTGTATTTAGATGTGAGATGTTGTCCTATGTTGGATGTCCCACTGTGAGGATAAAGGGATCTACATAAAGAGATCTATGTTTATTAATAGCTTTACAAGTTCTTTGGCTCCAGTGGTTAAATTAAAAAAAATAAAAATTTTAAAAAAAATGAAGTTGAGGGATAACAGTTTTGCATTATGCCTCACTGGCTAATTGAAGCTTAGAAGTAAATTCTTTGTGCAGCTTCTTGTAGCAGTCATTCAGTAGTTGTCAGCTAAGAAATATCTTCATTTAGCTTAAGGTTTTAGAATTGTAAAAGCAAATTTCAATCCCAGCTCTCTGCTTAAGTACCTTTAATCGACAGAAAAGTAAGTCTAAAATGGAATATGTAGATGTAGCAAGCAAGGGTAGTTTTTATTATTAATAATTTTATTTCTTATGTAAGGAAAAGTCAGGAGATTTTTTTGAAATATATTTGATAAACATACTCTTTGTATTTAGAAAGGGGGGTAGAAAGGTGTTTGCTCAAGTATTTGTTTATTCTCTCAATAACATAATCAATGATAAGAAGTTTGCATTCAAAGTAAATTCAGCAAAAGTTACATGCACACACAGCACTCTGTTTTGCCAGTTATTTGTCCAAAAGGTTCTTGAAAATCATTATATTGTGTCAACTGTCCTGCTCAAATAAAAGACCTTTATTTTTTTGTGTGTGTGTGATTGAAAGCTAACGCATTCATCTGTGCTTGTTCTGGGGCAGAAGACAGTTACATTTGGCCATTAGCCTAACATGGTCTGAATTTCTTAACTCATTAATTTTTGATAACAAACTGGAGGGAGGAAGAAGAAAAAGGAAATTTACTCTCAGTAATGTGAGAATCCAAGGTGTTCTGTGTAAGATCATATGAAAATGGGCAGAGAACTGTGCAGCAGCTCATTTTTTACCTTCACAACATTTCAAGCATTATCAAGGCTTTTGCAGGAAAATAAAGTCCGCAAATGTAAAAAAAAGATTTTGTGTTTCACAATGTGAAGAAACTGGAGGAGCTCACACTGAAAAACTAGTTTTTAAAAATCTTATCTTTTCATTGCAGTTCTCTGCTTAATTTTTGTCTGGTTAGAATTAAATAATTAAATCTGCTTTATTCCGTATTTCAGGGCAAGCATAGTGTGATGAGCTTCTCTGTTCTACGATCTTGCCTGTTGGACAAGCAGCATTTTTTTCAAGCCTAATTGCTGCAGAAATTGGTTTTTATTTTTCCTATGTAGCAGTCAATCCACTTGTTTCAAGCTATCGACTTGTTATTGCTCAATAGATGATTGACTTCAAATAATTGTCATTGATATTGACTGTGGAAATAAGGCTCCCTACATATAAGAATCTCGACTAAGTCTTCAGAGATTAAGATAATCATTAAGCTATTCCATTTTGACATTTTCTGAGCAAAATAATCCTCAAATACCTTCTAAGTCCTTACTAAACTGAAGAGAAATTAAGGGAGATCATATCAATTGGTGTATATCCCTTGATAGATGCAAGTTAAAAATTTTTTTTATAATAAGTTTTCCTTTATATTGTGGTTTTACTTTTGGACATACTACTGCTCCTCAGCATGCCATTCCTAACTTTCTTCTGTGTCACAGTAATGTATATTCCTGCTTGTTGTTTTGGGCTACAGTGCATGTACATGTTTTGCTCCAAAAGCAATGCCTCCTATTTATTTCTGTGGAACTTGAAAGAGCTACAAAGAGCAAAATAACAGTATTTGATATAGAAAATTATCTTCTCAGTAACCAAACACTATTTTTCAGTATGGCTGCCACTATTATTTGTGCATTTTTTCCATGATGAAAAGGAGTCTGTACGCATTGTTCATAAAAAATTTTGCCCAGTAGAATGAACCCACTGTTTCACAGCTGCTATGACAGCTTAATTGCTGGGTAAATGTTGCTAATACAGTAAAGTTTTCATCAGTCCAAACAGATGGAAGTCAGAAGGTGCAAAATCTTTACTAGATTGTGGGTATGGTAGGACAGTCCAACTAAGACTGGCAATGTACTTCATGGTCTTCAACCTGGTATGGGCCCTGTTCACTTGTTGCAAGAGCAATTTTGTCTTCTCTGGTGTGACTCTGGAAATCTGAGCTTTCAGCTTAGTCAGCATCAAATGTAGTGATTAGAGTTGATGGTTTGTCCAGGTGACACCATGTCTCATTATCGATAATGGCGTGATTCAGGAGACTGTCACCTTCAGCTTTGTATTGGCTCAGTAGATCCTGACGAATGATGTTCATTCTGTTCCAGTGTGAGCATTCACTGGCACAGACTGCAGAATTCCAAGGTTGTTGCCACTGTTTCCAACACACTGAAACTGATATTCATCTCTGTACAGTTTCCTGGTCATAATCGTCTGATTCATGCAGATGAGCTGATTGAGATGCTCACAGTGTGAAAACTGTGCATGAACATCTGGAATGTGGCTTGTCTTTCATGTGACTGTTGTCAAAATGCACCACCGCACCCTCAGTGTGCTCTATCCACTTTTTGGTCTTCATAGACGTTCATCAGCAATCTACTAATGTCAGTGAGTACCATTTTCTCTGGATGCAGGAATTCAGTTCTACACCTTTGTTTCAAATCTTCTTCCATGTCAGATGCCATTCTGTCAGACTTTCTCTGCTGCCATGTGTTACATGGCAACAAAATGTAATGGAATATTGGTGAAAGGTTCAAACTGCCATATCGCCAACATCCGTCTCTGACATTGTGAGCCAACAGAGTAAAGTGGGAGGCATTCATTTTGGAGCCATGCTCTTATATGAGTTGGTGTTGAATTTATTGTAGATTGATGATACCATTTTTAAAGTGTTTCATTACAAACTCTTTCAACAGGTAAGATTTTGGTATTGGCTATCTCAGGACTCCCAGCTTTCAGTTTTTAGGAGGACTGCCTTGAATGGAAGTTTGGAGAAAATGTGCGATATTTTAGGATTGCCTGAGATGGAGTGGACAAAAGCAAGTATACCAGTAGTAGACAGTGCAGCTGGGAACTTATCTTCTCAGGTAAGTCGAAATTATGTCAAATGTTAGCTCCAATTTGGCCTTTAGAATTAAATTACTTTCATAATAGAAGGTAAAAAGAGAATTTCTATCCTTTAAAAAGGAGTTCAGCTCTATCAATAGGTGTAGGTATTCAAGAGCAGCATCATTGTTTCCTTACCTCAGATTTCAATATATGACTAGTGAAGTGTTTTTTAAAAAAAGAACTTTAAAAAATTCTAATCAATGAGGGCTTAATTATGTTGGCTGAAGATGGAAGTGCAGAACCTTGAGCTTAAATGAACTCTCCTTTCATTTGTAGTCTCCTGAATATTTTCTTGTATTTCTAAATGCATTCTTATAATCCTTACATTCACAGTAACATACGTAAGACTAATATTTTCTTTTTTATATATTATACTCATCTTAATTTACAAGCAGAAAACTAGAAATGAGGAGAATCATTATTGAAATTATTAGCTTAAAGAAAATCAGAAACGTTGATTTTGTTGTAGTTAAGTTATACTTCACATATCTTATGCTCATCTGTCTCTCTCCAATTTATAGGAGGGAGATGAGGTTCTTTTAATATTTGTATACCCAGTGTGAGATTAAGAAACAACAGTTCAAATGTTGGTCCAACCAGTTTATTAAAAATCCTAATCAGGGAGACGGGGAAGGGAAGGAGGGCAATAGAAAAGATAGGAAAGAAGCAAGAATCGTGTAAAGCGGGGATAGTCACCACCAGGATGCAGCAGCGGTCTGGTTGCACGATGTTTGAATGTCCGAGCCAAAAGCAGCAGGGGGAGAGAGCAGCAGCATGGCCTTGGGCAGTAAGCAGGTAGCAGAAAGAAGTCGCAGAGCCAATCTGGGAGGAAGCAGCAGGACTCAGACAGCAGACCCAGGAGAGTCCATCAGCATGCAGGAATTCCGTAGTGAGGAATCTGATGGCAGACACCTTTGTTCTTCTTTGGCAATTGTGGTAGAGTGCAAAGCAAGTTCAGGAAGGAGAGAGGCAGTCGTGAGGCTTCTCATGTCAAAAAACTTCTTCATGAAGAATCTGTTGCCAGAAAGCATCCACCTCATGATTGTAGGTCCCCTTTTTAACCTTCTTCTGCCAACGCGGCATTCCTGGGCACTTGGGTAAGAGTCATGTGCAGCCCCTCCTGAGATGGCCATCTTCCTTGAGATAAGCCCACACAAAAGACCGCTTCACGGCCATTAAGCTGCAGCTTATCTCTCTCTCTCTTGTTGCCCCTGGCCTTGTCCATCTGTGTCCCTCAGACAAAGGATTTCACAACCCATGCCTAGGACTTGCTTGGGCTTGCTCATCTGTGTCCCCAACAAGCTTTAAGACAATGATGTAAAGGAATAATATCTTACATCATCACACATTATAGAGTTAGTTATTCACTAAAGCAGGCTTGGTGTAGAACTTAGACTGAGTTATAAATTGCCATGTTTGTTTGTCCTGAATGCTCATTTTAAAAGTTCACATAATCATAGAATCACCAAGGTTGGAAAAGACCTAAAAGATCATCCAGTCCAACCGTTCACCTCTTACCAGTAGCTCCCACTAAACTGTGTCCCTCAACACAACATCCAGTCTTTTTTTTAAAAGTTGTATAGTTTTTAACAGTTTCAGCAGGAAGACAGCTCATTCAAGCAGCAATGGCTATTATCACTTGAGATTGAGGCAAGGCTGCCTGGGTTACAAAACTTTCTGTAAGTAAATGTGGTTGTGGCTTTGACAGATGAGGAATAACTTTCTGACTGATCAAATCTCAGTCTAGTTGTTGCAGGCTGGTAATCCAAGTTGGCTGTAGGTGGTATTTATGTCCTGCAGAGTAAACAGTAAAGAAATATATATGTGCCTTTTTATCATGTTGCTGCTAATGAACTTGCTTCCTTTATCTTTACAGATCATTTTCCAAGCTACCATTCGAGCAGCAAATGCTACTGTTGCTATAGATAGCATCAGTATAACAAAGGAATGTGAAGTTCTGAACATATCACTATCAGCTATCAAGCCAGAAAACAAAGGCAAGTTTTGCAGTTCTCAATGTGTTTTTTTTTCTGATGCTTACTATAAGTAATTGGGATCCCACTGACATCTTCAAGACATCTGTAACAAAGTAGGACATAATCTGAGGAAAAAGTCCAGCTGCATTAATGAACTGTATATAATAAAACCTTTCACACGATGTTACATAGTATGTGCTTTAAGTAGTTTGGAGTAGCTCTGTGAAGTAAGCTATAAAGCAAATGTCCAGATACCACTTACTGTGTAGAACCTGCCCACATTTATGCTTTGACGCATGGACAGAAGCAAAGCATCTTACATCTTTCACTGATGAGCACTATCTTTAAGGCAACAGGGTGCTCCCATCATCACTGTCAAATATATAACTCAAAGCAAGCTCCACCGAACTTGTCTGTGTGCCCACACTCTCTAATCTTGAGACGCGAACAGATGGAAACATAGCTGTGACCTTCTGTCAGACTGTTGCTTTTTCAGATCTCTACTATTAATGCTATGTTCTAAAATGACATGAACCTAAATGTAGTCAGTGGTAATGCTGCTAAGTTACACCCAACAGAAAGATGAATATCATCTTTGTTGAAAATTTTAAAGGCAAGTTGGAAAATTTCAGTGTTGAATTTTTTAAGATTTCCTTGATATCTGTATCTATGTATCTCTCTATATTTATACAGTCTGATAGTCTAGTTAAAAGTAACTATATAATTGATGAAAGATTATTTTATTATAATTTTATTTTTATTTTCCTACACCTACCCACTCCATGCATCAATCACAAAGGCATAGCAGCAATATGATTATCTAAACACAGTGACTTAAAGATGAAAAGCTTCATGCCATTCCTCCCATTCTCTTTCAGAAACCTGCTAAAATATAGTCAGTAGTCTTTTGCTATTTTTTAACCTTCCACTTCCCCATTCATTGAAATTTGGATTGTTTTCTGATACATATTTTGAAAGCTCATTATTAGTGATGTAACGCAAACATTTTCTTTTCCTGGAATTTTCACTGTGAACCAATTTCTGCAAAGTATGAGGGGTGCTCTTAATGTAATGCCTCCTGTCTTATGTTGCCTCATGATAACAGAGGTGGATGTTGGTGGTATGACAGTAGATGTGGAATCACCTCACCAGTATCCTGTCATGTTTTGTTGCTGTGTGACAGGTAACAGCAGAGACACATCTGAAAAATTGTTGTCTGATGTGGAAGAGAGTATGAAGCACAGGTGTGGAACTGAATTTCTCCTTGCAGAAAAAAAAATGGCACCTGTTGGCATGCACTGATACCTGCTGAATATTTGTAGAAACCAAATAGAAAATGTTAGTACAAGGAAATGTTCTGCATGAACATGCAAATTTTAATAAGCACAGCATGCAAGCTCTTGTTCATGGCTGGTAGAAATGTATAGCTTATGGGGGTGACTGCTGAAATATTTTGGAGCTGAGAATTTACTCTATCAAATAGTGTTATTGTGGTCTTTGTATTTGTTGTAGTTTCCATGGGAATAAATAGGAGGCATTACTTTTGGAACAACCTACATATCTGTGGGGGCTAGTCCAGGTGAGAAATCTGCCCTTACTCCCATGTGAGTGAATTAATTCTGGCATATGGCATTCCCACCTGAGGACTAGCTAGTCACTGTCACCAGTGGTGGTAAGGAAACTGCTGCTTTTTCCAATCCACTCAGATTCCCTTTAATTACTTATTTATCTGTTATCAGGCAAGCACTGGTTCTAGAGCTTAATCTCACTTTATGGAAAAAAAGTTCCTAAAACATCTCATGCTTCTTCAGAGGTGCTTTTCAGTTATCAAATTTCTGTTTGTCTGGAACTTCATTCGCATGTGCTTCATTTATGTGTTTCAATCAGTAACAATTTTCTTGTTTGTACTTACGAAAACTCTCAGACATATAATGAGAATTTATTTTTCTTAAAATCATGAGACTAGATGATTGCGTATTAACTCATTGTATAGTCTATTTTAACTATGGTCAAATGAAATTCTTTGTTGCTCCTCACTTTGATCTAATCTCTGTTTTAAATTTGGCTGTGTTCCATCTTTAGAATCAGAGTGTGGTGAGAATTTTATGACACATATAGGAAAAGTACCATTGGTACAAACCTTATAATATGTTGAAATTATTCTGTTTTTATGTAGCTCATGGTAAAAAAATTAGTTTATCTCATCTGGTTCTGTTGCAATTATGTGACTCTAATATATATTATTTTTATTATTACAGTAAAATTTAGACACTTATTCCAGATTCCTAGTTTCACTGTACAAAAATACATGTCCCAGACTAAAAAAGTCCTACAGATTTATTCTACCTAGTAGAGAAAAGTAAAAACATCATAAAATATAAGCTATGAAATGTTCTCTTTTTCAAGTGCTGCTACTCCTGACTATTAGTTCACAACTTTACTTCTACAGTTGAAGAATTTACTGTGGCTATAAAGCTATTACACATGACTTCCACGCATTAAGGCAGAAGAGAAAAGTGGCTGTCTTTTTCAAATTGCAGATTTATAGCAATGACCTAACATACCTGTCACGTTGTGTGCTCACATTCTGGAAGATGAATGTTTGATATAATTTCTAAGGTCTGCAGCCTATGCTTTTGGTGGAGTTCAAATTTTCACTTTTGCAACCTAAGAATTACATGATGTAGGAAATATAAAATTTGAAAGCAATCTGATAACATAAAGATATTTTTGGTATTGGCTCTGATCTTTTGCAAATCGTTCTATATATTTTTTCTCCCTTTCTCTTTTAATTTACTCATTTTTCTTGTTCACTTATGTGGATTATTGGATTTTGAACTATATCTAAACATCTTATTGTAGCTAAATATGTAAGTGCGTATAAAGTGTATGTGAAATTTGGAGATATATATACATTGGGAGATATATATAAATATTGTTTTATATTTATGCATTCATACATGAAATTTAATCACATTAAATCACATTTAATCATCATTATCTCTACAATGTACTATCCAGCTGAGCATGAGCATACTCAGATCAGCCTTAAAGGAGGTAGTTCATAAGCTGCTCATAACCTCACTCTCTATGTATGAAGTGTTTAGTTTCACCGAGAGGGCAAATGAAGAGAATGATGCATGCATCGTTTATTAATAACTGTGTTTGTGGTGTAAACACTATTGGGTTTCTAAGAACCACCTTTGTAAAATAAAAAAACAGAGTTGTACAGTGAATATGATTTTTTTCATGTCATTAATTAGAATTAATTAGAAATTGAAATTGTATCAAATGTATGTGACAGCACAGTTATTTTCATGGGCAATATTTGGGATTGATTAGCATGAATGTGCACCCAGAGAATACTGAATTACCTGTGTAAAAATCTGAATTTTTTTGAGACCTACAGTTAAGCTAAAGGCTGTTAGGAGATGTGCACTGAGTTTACTTTGTTAAAAATACAGGTCCATGGTGAAATCACTTAGGCTGTTTTTACAGCATTTTCTTCCCCCTCAGTATATTTTGTCCATGTATATGCCCTACTTTTCCTTATTACATAGGAGATATATACATATTATCTATAAGCCGTATTACTAAAAAAGTTCATGTGACTGTAATCACAAGTAAGTCTGTTAGAATTTCACATTTATGAATTGTCTTTCCTCGCAGAAATTAATAACAGAAGGAAATGTTCTCAAGAGTTTTGTTTCTTGTAGCCATACAAGAGAATGCTGTACCTATCCGCCCTACGTGATTGTTCAACTACAATTCTATATATATTAGTATCATAATGCAAATCAACTTAACATCCAGTTTTGAACTTTTATGTAATAGTTTCAAATTATTTTTAGAGCTTTAGAGGATAATATTTGGGGATGGAAAGCAAAGGAGGTGGGCACTCCCACAGAAATTTTGAAAAGAACTTGTCAACATTCAAATAGACTTGAGATTTTTTTGTCTGTTTTTTCAAATAGTCTTCTTTACTATTGATGACCTTTTGCATTTTTAAATTTTATTTTTTCAGTGTGTTTACACTGAAAGTGTTTAAAAATAATGTAATAGGATCTGTATATCTCTAAGTTGTTTTGGATCCTAGATATTAAGATGTCAATAAAGTGACAGCTAACTATAAGTCTTTAAATCTGTCTTGAAATGGGTGATTAAAAAAGGATATGAATGTCTTGGCATATGAGGGTCTTTATAAACACCTCTTAAATTTAAGTGAAAGTTGTAAGCCAGTAATGATGGATTATAACTTCTCACCTGGATTTTTTCATGCCAGGCTTTCCTCAGAATGCTGCATTATGTGTAAGTACACATTTGCTGCCAGACTGAGAAAGATCTGAGGGGAGTGGTTGTTGAGATTTGTGAACCGTCAGTCTTGCAGAAATCCTTACATAATAATCATTCAATTTTAACAACTGTTTTCAGTATGAGTGTTTCTTAAATTCTTGTTAGGCATTCATTCAGCTTATACAGAGAAGGGGATGATTTGGGGATGTTTTTGAGTGTTTTTGAGTTTCTCAAAACAAAAATATTTAAAATATGTAAAATCAATTTGTAACAATCCAGAATCAGCAAGAAATCTCAAGTTGTGATAACAAGTCAGCTCAGAGAAGACTAAATCCACTGTCACTGTAAAGGCAATTTCCTCCAAACGTCAATACTAGCAATAATTTCCTCATATACAAGGAGCAAAAAGCCCAGCAGAGTTTGTAGCACTCAACAAAGAACAGAAGAAAGGCAGAAAGTAATGTATTAGAAGAGAATGTAGATTAATTAGTGTCTGTTCACTATGAGGGGAACTGCAGAGGAACCCAACCTGACTGACTTTCACCTCTGAGATGATCAAGTACTTGTCTAAGTGATAATGAGAAAGTAAGATTGAAGCATTACAAATCACTTAGAAGCAAATGAATTTCACCCAGGCTCTACCAGCTTGCTCTATACTTTTATCTTCCCCAGATTTTAAAAACACTTGGTTTAAAAACTTGTTGAAGGTTTGAGAGTTATTTTATCTCAAAGTGCTCATCCATGCTTAAGATAAGGGCATACTTTGTCTTGTTACAAGTTACAGTTATAGGAAGTCTGGGCTTGGAAACTTAACTGTTACATCTTTCATTTTTGAATGTTGCCTGTATACAAAGTTTTTCATGTTCTTTGTAGCTCTCCTGGGTATTTGAGATTGTTTCTCATTCTTCTTTTCAAGCAAAGAAAAGATAGATCATAAATAGCTCACTTTATCTTCCCATTATTTTGTTCCACCAGTAGATTATCAGTCATTTCCATTTGCCTAGGTCCTTGTACATCTGTTAATAATCATTGTTATTCTAGCAAAGCAATATTCCTAAAGAAAAAAGAATCATACTTCATGCTTGATTGACATACAACCTATATATAGAAAAATTATATTACCTTTAATCTCTTAAATTTTATTGTTTTTGTTTGTGTTTTTATGTGTTTTGGTTAATAACACATTAATCCAGCCTTTTTTAGAAGACCACTAATAATCATATGCTGGTTAAACAGACCAATAATCATATACTGGTTAAACAAACACAAAAGAAACCAACTCTCCTCATATTTTCCATCAATGGAATATAATTGTCTTTTCCATGAGATGTCATTTGAAATGGCCACAACACATTGTGATAAATCTTTATAAAACGATGGTAGAAATGGTAGTCATGTCTGTGAATATTTTGTGGCTTATGCATAATTAATGAAGTACTGGGTAAAAGTTCTTGGAATAGTTTTCCTAATGTTTTCCATTGAATGCTTGTTCTAATGACAGTAAGCAAAAGTATCATTCTGTGATTAGAGAGGAATTTTTTAAGTGCAGAAGAGGAAAATATGATGCTGCTTTTGTTTAATATTGTAAATATTAATGTATATTTTTCATTCATCTTTCAATCCATTTATTTTGCATTTTATATATTTTGTAATGTATTATTGCTGTGTTAAATGAAGTACTGAAGAATGCAGATGAATACATTTTTCAAGCCTTTGTTAATGCAGTATTTTGTGTTTCAGAGATGTCCTCCTTTTACCAATATTGTGGCATTTCTTTAATATCTGGTATTTAGCTTGATTTCTTTTACAACTAGAAGAATGTTTTTGTTATCTTTAGCATACTTGTTGAAATTCAGGAAATAAAGAATTTATTTTGACACTAGCATTTATTCCCTAAAAGATCTGGCAGAAGTCTTGTTATTGCTTTGTGTGCTCTGTTTTTCTGCTTTGCAGCATGAGATTGTGAGGTTGGTTTTCAGCAGCTCCTCACCCGCATTGTGTGCTTTGTCTGCATTGCTTTTAGAGAAAAGTCTTCACTTTATGTATCCACTGTGTATAGATTTAGCTTGGATGTTTCTGTGGGACTGTTATCTTACTCCATTTTTATAAAACAAATACAGCATCTTTTCCCCACAATGCTCTAATGCTTTTTTTTTTTTCCTAGGATGGTGGTGACATATTGGAAATGTTTTATTTCCTTTTCACATTGTAAAGCTTTCCTAGTCATGTCTTGCACAGAGACAAAAAAAAATGTTTCTTACCTCATTTCAGCTTCTGTGTGTGACTTTGAAAGAGATAACTGTGGTTGGTTTGAAACTGCAAATGCAGATGGATTTGATTGGATAAGAAGTTCCAGCAGTTCTCTTGAAAGTGCTTTAAAGCAGCAAGCTCCTCCTCAAGATCACACCTATAACAAGTCTGAAGGTAAATCAATCCAGGCCTAGACACAAAGGGCTGATGTAGATACACTGCTCTTTAATCAGTTTTAAAGTGGTGATTGTAAACTATTTCCAAACATGTAGAAACAATGTCTTTCTTCAGCCTGAAAGGTTGTTTTATGTTTTCTTTTGTTAGGTCATTTTATGTTCATTTTGAAAAACAGCAGCAGGATTTCACAAGTTGCTCAGCTACGAAGCCCAGAGTTCAGACAAACAGGATCAAATTGCACAATGTCCTTTTGGTATGGGAAAAATTTTTTTAAAGATTCTGGATCATCTCTCATTGTTTCTCTTGGATTGAAATTGTGGCTATAATTTACAGTAGTACACAGCCTCCTCTACAGTATTTATTATCTTCGTCTATTCCTTAATCAGACAGTCTACATTATGACCAATATGTAGATATAATCTGTAGAACAGAACTGAAACCTAGGATTTATTTGTTGTAAGGCTTTCAGCAAAGTTATGTTAAAGGACAATGTCTGCATATACACAGGAAAATATCTCTAGTATTTTGATAATATTTTAACTTAAAATCAAATTGAAAATGTTCTCTCAAGACTTAGAAATCATCCAAAAGTTTAGTACCTCACTGAGTCATCATTTGAGTTATCAATAGAGTATCCAAAATTGAATTGTACCTTCTTTGAAAGATATCTCCAGTGCAAGAATTGGAAATCCAATTTCAATCCTTCTCCAATATTCATAGGGGAAAAAAGTATTTCAGCTATTTTCTCACCACAATCTCTGTAGAACCTCGTCAAAGAGGAAAATAAAAAATGAACTGTAATTATTTGTATGTTAATGTCAAATTTGTATGGCTTAAATAAATCTTTGCATGATTTTAGCATTATTCTGTGTGTTGCTCAGTAATGTCAAATATATTTACTGTAGAAAGATGTTTATCAAAGAGTTGATGTGTAGGTCTGGAAATACCACACTTCTGGAAACAGAATGAGGAACAAAAACAGTTTAGTTATATGTTCACTCAGTTATATATTAATGACTTTAAAATGATGTTTTAAGATACTATTAAAAAAAAAAAGGTAATAAAGCTTTGTTTTTGTTATTTTAGGTATTACAATTATGGACATTCAGTTGGAGCAGCAGAGATGCAACTGCTTGTGGATGGGCTAGATGAGCCTACTGTTCTTTGGAGGGTCTACTACAACCAGGGAAATCAGTGGTTGAACTCAGTCATTCAGCTTGGACGTCTTTCACATTCCTTCCAATTGTCACTCAATAAAATCAGCTTGGGATTTTATGACGGTGTCTCAGCAATTGATGATATTACATTTGAAAATTGTGCTCTTCCACCTCCAGCATTAAGCTGTGAAGGTCCTAATTGGTTTTGGTGCAGAGACACAAAAGCGTGTATTAGCCATTTATTGATGTGTGATCTTGTGGATGACTGCGGGGATGGATCAGATGAAGACAAGTGCAGTGAGTACTTTCCATTATTACTTTATAGCAAAACAAACTGCCAATTAATCTCTGCATTTAAAAAATAAAAATAAAAAGTGCAGAGTACAAGTACAGCATATCAGTGTCATAGCCGGTGGTGATGCAACCCAATATAGTTACTGATAGAATTCTCTGAAAATTATTAGCCTAAATGTGTATGATGAGTAACATTTGAGGGTAAATGTAATTGTAAATCAACCTCTTTTATTCTAATGAGTCATATTTCTTTAATTCTTTTGTAAAATACACACATGCATTACAAGTTTATTTTAGCGGAAAGAATTCATTCTTCCAGTTGATCTCAGTTAATGTGGTGGTTTGGGCTACGCTGATAAAAATAAAATAATATACATAGACTGAAAGAAGTGCACGTCCTATCTCTATATAGATCTGTCTAGCTAGAAAATATTAAACTATCTGTATTATTAGAAGTTACTAGTTATTTTGTGCATCTCTTTCTCTTTCAGAGAAATGACTTGTAGGAATTGAGAAGAACTGTTGATCATTCACGTTTTTGGCATTCAATTGTAGTGCTAAAGGGCAGAGATTGATTTTCTCACCCAAGCATGCTTTCATCAATTTTAAGAACTCAAAAACATTAATATTAAAATTAACTAGCAGATGCTTTACTATATCCTATGGTAACCAAATTATGCAAATCAGAGTGAGCTTGAGAAACAGTGGACAGCCTACATGCTTGAGGAGATACCAGACTGCACTGATATCTGCTGTGTATGATCTGAATTTCAAAGACAGTACACGGTCTCCAGACTATCTCAGTTTTCCCACCTGTAAAATGCTTATCTTCCTTTACGCATGTTGAAATCTACAGTAAGGAAATACTGAATGACTGATTTTGAAGTTTTAAACATTGTAAAAAAAGCTTACATAAAATGTTATATGATTAATAATTACATATTAATCATTAATTACTGTTTATGAAAGGTAGATGAAAAGCAGGAACACAAGTTAACCATTTCTAATACTCAGCATTAGAATTAGTAGTTCTAATCAATGTATTTTGTCTTGATGTTAAATAATGTGTTATAAATGCCTTTTGAGTTTAGCGTCTGTCATATGAAAACATATTAAGTCACTTATTGCATCTAACTACAAAGTTAAGGTCTATGATTTATTTCATCCAGTTCATCAGTTTAAAAAAAAAAAAAAAAAAAACAAAAAAAAAAAAAAAAACCAACCTTCAGGGTTTTTTTCATACTTTAATTATAAAAAATGCATTAATCATCTTACTCTTCATGCTATTAAATAGTTCTTCATAGCATTTATTGAATGAATGAAGTATTGATTACCAGATGTAATGAGAGAGAAAGAAGTTAACTAAAGGCTTTTCTTTTGTTTTATTTTATTTTTGCCTATACAGGGGTAAATTTGTTTTTTCTAGGGGGGGAGAATTATTTCAAAAACCAAATGGGTCTATATTACATGTATTTGAAAAGGAAAAAGGAAACAAATTATTCTCTTTTTCTCAGAAAGACAGTGAATAAAGAGTATATTAAAGCAATACCACTTTCTGATATTGTTCTGCTTACTTTACACCTGACATTTTATTCTGCACACATTTCAGACCCTGACCTACAGTGTGACTTCGAAAATGGGCTATGCAATTGGGCACAGGACACTGAGGATGACTTTGACTGGATCAGGATACAAGGACCAACCCCTACAGTTAATACAGGACCATTAAAGGATCACACAACAGGCACTAGTCTGGGACATTACCTGTACATGGAGTCTTCAGAGCCACAAGAATTTGAAGATAAAGCAGTTTTGCTTAGTCCTCTCTTCAACCCTACTTACAATCAAACCTGCATTTTTCGCTTCCATTATCATATGTCTGGAAAGCAAGTTTATACTTTGTCAGTCTTCCAGAGAACTATGAGTAATACCAAGGGAATACTGCTGTGGTACAAATATGGAAATCAAGGAGAAAGATGGATAAGACAGACGCTGTACATCAGCAGCTCTAAGCCATTTCAGGTATGTTCTCTCTAGGTTGTGATATGTTTGCTTGATGCAAAGTAAAACTCTGAAAGTTTATAAATGACAGTGCAATCTAAAAGGTCTTAGTAACCATCTGATCACATTGACTTTGCAATATGTTTGTAGGTTGATTGTCTTTGAGGAAGTACTTCTGAATTTTTTTTTTTGGTGGAATTTGTTTTCTCCCATCCCTAAAAAGGTGGTAATCTTTTGAGTATGAACAAATGATATTTAAAGTAGGAGATTTTCTTTTGAGCATTGTTTACAATGAATTCTTTGTAGATCTGCTACAAAACAGCTTGCTTACATTTCTGGACTGTTTCCCCAGTGTTTGAAGTGCTTAATATCTCATAGGTGATATTCAGATTGAAAAGGAAATGTTTAGATTCACTTGATACTATAAAGCAGGATGGTGGTTTTTTTTTTGTTTTGTTTTGTTTTTTGAGGTACCTAGGGTGTAAATAAACTGTAGACTCTGAAGATGGTCTAGATTTTTTCTTTTTTAACTTATACCTTTACTTTTTCTCTTGGAAATTTAAAAGATAAGCATCTATATAAGGTATCTGATACCACATATTCCTCTTCCCTCATTATACAAGTCTGTCATTTTTTTGTCACATTCCATGAAAAAGATCATTGCTTATCAATAGTATGCCTTACATGTTGACATTTTTGAGAATGTTTCCATACAGGTAAAGCCAATTACAGTAGACTAAACAGTCGTCATGTTGTCAGTTTCCATTGACCATGTCAGCTCCTTCTCAACCTTTTTTTCAGAACTTTAAATTTCACAGGAAACCTCTGTTCTAGATGCTATCAAACTGTAGCTGAAGTTTGTTACTGTTCCATTAGATATTTTATATCAGTGTTAAATAAGATATCAGTGAGCAGAATTGATCAGATGAGTGAATCAGGAAATTCAGAGGTAAATTTTTTAAATGAAAAAGAAAAAAGATGGTTTTTGAGCCAAGATTAAGTGTATTTCTGATGCTAAAATTAACTACTAATAAAACTAGCCCTATTGGCTACACATACTTTGTACCTGTACCTGATCCTATTTTCCTTTTGAATTCAGAAAATGTTATGACAGAGAACTTTGAAAGGAACTTAATAATCTGGTATTCTAATATGAGTATTTACTGAGTATATTCAGGGACTTTCTGGGAAGTACTTGAACTTGAATGGAGAGCTGCAATTCTCACTTTCTTGGGAGGAGTTGAGTGTCTCAAGAGGCAGGCCACTAAAATGATCCAAGGGATGGAGCACCTCCTGTATGAGGACAGGCTGAGAGAGATGAGGTTATCCAGTTTGGGGAAGAGAAGTTTCTGGGGAGACCTGGAAGCAGCCTTTCAGAATCTAAAGGGGGACTGTAAGAAAGAGGATTCTTTCATGGAGTCTGTTATGATAGAACAAGGGAAAATGGTTTTAAATCAAAAGAATGGAAATTTAAATTGGATATAAGGAAGTAGTTTTCTCCGATAAGGACGGTGAGGCACTGGAACAGATTGCCAAGAGACACAGTGGAAGTCCCACTGTTAGATCCAATCAAGGTTAGGTTGAATGGGGCTCTGAGCATCTGATTCAAGTCTAAATGTCCATGTTCATTGCAGGAAAGTTGAACTAGATGACTTTTAGAGGCCCCTTCCAACTCAAAAGATTCTATGATTGTATGAGAATTTGTGATTCCCCCTGTAAGCAAAGGAGTACAGTATTCATCTGCAATATTTCAGTAATCATTCTGCATATGTAACTTCCTAGATGCATTACAGAAATAATCAGCCCCTGTGATTTTGAAAATAGAGCAGGAAGTTGCATTAATTTACTTTTGCTGAAAACTGCAAGTGGAAATATATTCCTTGTTAAAGATGTTACTTTTTACAGTGCACTTGATTCAACATGGAAAATAAAAGTCTGTTGAGTGTACTTACATCTTTACATCAAATTTATTTTCATATCCCTGAGATGTCTACTTACATGCTTTTTCCTTATAAGTGCATTTGAAAAGACAGCAAAGTAACAATCTGTCCATTGTTGCCTAACTTTTATCAATGGTGAATGGTGTTTGCTTTCATTCTCACTGAATAATCATAAAACCTGACGTAGTTTCAAAATAAAGTGCAAAGATTCTATTTTTACATCTCTAGATAAGTGTAGCTGTTTCAGTTTGCTCTATTCATTCAAATTTCAGAATACAGAATACAGAAAAGGGAAATTATTGTGTTATGTGAAAATAGCAAATCAATCCCCCTGAGCATTGTGGTCATCTTTTTGTCATAATTAAGGGACCTTTATTCTATTGCAAACAATGTTATTAAAAATATATATATCTTAACCCCTCTGATGTCATATAATACAATGTGAGTTGTCCCTTGCAGCATCTCCAAGACAGAAAATTTCTATAGGACTGTAGTTACAGTTTTTGTCATTTTATGTCCTGTCAGAACCCTGAAGAGTTTCCCTGTGCCAGATTCTGATGTGTCCATCAACTGCTGAACTGGGAAACACTCCTCATTGCAGTCACTGAGTATCATTTCTACTTGAGACATCAGAAAACAACTTTGCTGTGCTGTGATGGACAGCTATGGGCTCTGCAGAGGAGACGATCAGGGTAGGAGAAGTAACAGTGTGATGCTATATGTAATGAAGGGGCTGGCTGGACTGTATGGAGCTGTTAGTTGGTGACAACATGGTTGAGAGCCTCTGCATAAGGATTAAGGGATAAGCAAATAAAGGGGATGTCATTGTGTGAGTCTACTATAGGACACCTACCCACAATGATGACACTGAATAATTTTTCTTTAAGGAACTAAGACAGACATCTAGGTGTTTATGGAGACTTCAACTTGTCAGATGTTAACTGGGAACACCACACAGCTGATATAAACAAGTCCAGGAGAATCCTAAAAGACCTTGATGTTAACTTCCTCGTATATGTGCTAAGGCTCAGTGACTGCAATAGGAAGTGCCTCCAAATTCAGCAGTTGATGGGCACAACATCAGATCCTGGAGCAGAGGAGAAGGCACAGAGGAACCCTTCAGAGTTTTAAGACATACAACAACAAAAAACTGTGAGAACCATCCTATAGGATGCTTCTGGCTTGATTTGATTGTTTGTTTCCTTGTACCAGGCCTAAATTATGCTGATATATGAGTTGGAGTTCATTAAATTTTGTTGGTCAAATTTATATTTTTCACCAAAATCCAGTGTTGAAAGATGCTCTAAATTCATCAAGGACTTTATTAGACTTCTAATACCTACTTGTGTTCATTTTTCCATTATAATTCTTGGTCATTCACTGGTAGTAATTTTCTCTCAAGTATTTTGTCATAAGGCATTTCTACTCTAGCAACAACTTCATTTTCAGCTTTCAATTTATCTTTCTTTCCCTACTATTCTTTGTGCTTTTCCCAATTATCTGCTGAGATTCATGGTTTGTTGTTTTGTTTTGTTTTGTTTTGTTTTTTTGTCTATTAAATGTTGCTATTAGTTTCTGTGGCTTTTCATTTCTGCAATTATGCTTCATATATATTGTTATTCATCTGTGTTTGTTGCAGCTTGGTAATTCCCTCTCCAGGCATTACCTGTGTTTCTTCATCTTTGTCCTCTGTGTTGGCTTCTTTCATCTCTGATACCTGTTAACTTGTTATACACTAACCTTTGGTTTTCAGATATCACAGAATCACAGAATTGTAGGGGCTGGAACAGACCCCTATAGATCATTGAGTCCAGCCCCCCTGCTGAAGCAGGCTCCCTAGATCAGGTTGCACAGGTAGGAGTCTAGACAGGTCTTGACCATCTCCAGAGAACAGGCAGCCTGTTCAAGTGCTCCATGACCCTCACTGTGAAGTTCTTACGCACATTTGTGCAGAACTTCCTATGCTTCAGTGGCCATTTCCCCATGTCCTATCGCCACACACCACTGAAAAGAGTCTGGCCTCATCCTTTTGTCTCCCACACCTTGGATATTTATAGACATTAATCAGATTTACGCTGTACAATTGCTATTCAACTCTCATCTTGTTAAAGTATGTCCTGGCAGGCAGTGACTAGTAGAAATGATTATGATATTATTATGGTGTTTGGGAGCTGTGCCAGGCCAAATTCTATAGAAAACTTCATGTCTGTACTGTTGAAAGTATCAACATCTTTTAGTATGGCAGTATTTCTTTAGTCACATTTTTTCTTAGAATTTATCTTTACTTGTTAAGTAGTTTTCCTTTGTTGTATAAGTCTTGAGATGGGAATATCTTGACATGTTCTTGAAAAAATGGCCAGAGTGAAGACTTACTGTGACTTCACTGGATGAAGATATCTTTATAACAAGAAAGAAATTTTGGTATAGGTTTAATGCAATGAGTGGCTCTATAGTTTGTCCAAGAATATACACAAATTCTACTGTCTCATAAGAAACTGTTTACTTTTCCTGACACTTTTTCTTTGTGTATACGTAGCACTTCTAAAATATGGATTAGTATATTTCAGAGGTACGCAATGAAGTGCATTTCTATCCCATGTTTGCTTTCAGAAACTTATGACAAAATAGTCTTTAATTTGTTTGTACTATTATACACTTCTATGTTTCTATCCCCTTCCAACCAAACCACCTGGTGTCTCACCAGAGATAACTGTAATAGCCCTAATCAAAATTAGCAAGTTCTATCTTCTAATAAAATCACTATGTAATACTGTTGATACTTCCTGTGACAGACCCAATATGTTGTTTGTCCATGTGACTAGCTATGTACATCAGGACTTCAATCTCTATTTCCTTTGCAGGTATCTTTAGAGTTTTCCATACCTCAGTGAATTTCATCCTAGCTAAAATTATGTTTACATGGTGTCTCGGTCCAATTTATAGGTGGGAGAGGAGGTTCTTTTATTATCTATATACCCGGCGTGAGATTAAGAAGCAACGGTTCAAATGTTGGTCCGACCAGTTTATTACAAATCTTAATCAGGGAAATGGGGAAGGGGAGGACAGACACTATTATGATGAGGGTAATGGGGAAGGGAAGGAAGGCGATAGAAAAGATAGAAGAGAAGAAGCAAGGAGTCTTTATAGGCAGCAAGAGGGACATAGTCACCACCATGGATCCAGCGAGGTTCGTAGTTCCGTCTTTGATCCTCAGTAGTGGTGGGTCATTGGGCAGAGTTGTTCTATTGATGACGACGATGACCATGGCAATGATGGCCCCTTTTCAATGCTTCGAGTGACAACTCAAACCCAAGGTTGTTGAGTCAGTTCTCCTTGCGGTGGCAGCTTCTGGCTCTGGGATCTCAGCAGGAACCTCCTTAGTTCTTATCTTTCTGGCCTTGCCAGCAGATAAGAGGAAGCGGGGAGGCACCAACTTGTATCTTGCCTTCGCAGGATACAATGGTATCTTCCCCCAGCCTTCCATAGCAAACAGGAGTTATTTAGTCACAGGCCAGATCTTCCGCCAGTAACACTCCTGAGCACTCTCTTCTGCTCTTCTACAGAGCAAGCAGCTCTGGGGGAAGAGGCTTTCAAATGTTCCCAAATCGATATCAATTGTCACACAGTTAGCACCCATCACTTGCCTCCTTGATGAGTCACTCAGAGTCTTATCAAAAGAAAAACCTCAGGAAGCAAGCTTTGAGCCAGAAAAAAAAAAGAAGGATTCTCACACATGGAAATTAAGATTTAATTTTGCTAACCTTCTGAGGGAGTTGAGTAGTGATAGAACTATGGATTAGTATAAAAATAGAACGTGTACAGAACAATGCTATTCATTGTAATTATCATATAAACATTTGTTATAGTGTTCCTTCACCCTTCAAAAATCTACTTGGTTCAAAATATAAAGAGATCAATAATATTTGCCTATAAGGTGTCGTTCTAATATGTTTTGCTTCTTACTCCATAAGAAACATACTTTATGTAGTATATCTCTTGCCACCTCTGTAGTCTTCATTCAGACTCAATCTTGAAGTCCTGAAGCTGGAAAACTTGGGAACTATTCATCCTCATTCAAATAATAAATGAGATGTGAAATGAATTTCATGGTAGATGAATTCCCTGGAGATAGTTTAATAATAGCTTATGAAGTTTGCAGAATTTTGCAGGCAAATTATTTAAGTGGTCAATGTTTAACCGTAGTGGCAGGCAGAAGTTTTATACTGCAGAACTAGCTTATTAATAAATTTTATTTTAAATTTTAAACTACCAAAAGCAAGACAATATGGTCCTCATTTCTAAAATCTCTAAAGAAACCACAACTGAAAAGAAACCAATTATGCCTCCTTATCGGTTGGAACAATACCTCTAATACTTGAATGTGCACAAAGTCCATTAAGAGATGTTTATTTTAGCATGAACCTATGTGGTTTTTTTCTGTTTTACTGACTGAATCCTTGCTATATGCCGCTCCCCAAGTAAATAAAAATATAAAATATTAATATAAAAAGAAGGAAGAAGGGGAGGTATTAATTTATTGATATTATTATTACCATTGTTTCAATAGAAAGATTTTCCAGTTTGCCTTACTCCTACAGTATGATGGTAGCTCTGTCACTGGGTATTGCTATACCCTTAATAAAGGTATTACTACTTAAGGAGAGATAGGAGTTTTATTTCCTTCAGGGGAAGGTTGGTAGGAGGTGATAAATAAGCACAACTTCACAGTGTTGCAGCTGGCTAGATGGTCACAGGGAGTTGTGGGGAGAGAAGCTCAATACAATACTTAACCTACCAGTTCACATCAGTCAGTTGAACACAGTCCCACTGAAAAACAGAGTAGTTTATAGAGCTTGGTTTTGTCTTGTTAATAACTATATAAATTAGCTTAACAAACTCTCTGCCACTGTCTGAATTTTAGCTTATTTATGCTAATTTTGTCACTTTTGTCAGTCATAGACAAAAATCTGAGATTTTGTCACTTTGAAATAATACATGTTCACGTATGACATTTCCAAATACTAGGCATATTAATTTGTCCTGTTTCTAAGCATTTTTATTTTGTTTATTTTGAAAAAAATATATGTCTACTTTTGTGTGTATGTATGTTATGGTTTTAGAAGGCTTTGTTTTCTTTCTCTCTCTCTTTCTCCCTCCCTCTTCATTTGTGAATAGTGACTTATAAAATAGTTACATCAAGGAAATTCTCATTAAATCTTTCCCTAATCACTCACTCAGGTTTTTACAGTTCAGTACTAACTCAAAATAAATAGGCTTATTCAGTCATCCACAGATTATTTTACCTATATTAACATCTGCTATTCCTTGGTATTAGATAATAATGAGAAAGTAAGCAACTTTAACATTGACAATTCTAATGAATTTGTAGAATATTTAGAATATTTTTCCTCAAAGGACTCTAGAACATACCTATAACCTAATTAACTGTTTTCATCATACAGAGGTTTGAGGCTATATAATTTATTCACGTAAATGTTATTATAATTGACCATTAGTAATATTGTTACAGTAAGTATGAAAGGAGCTAATCATAATGTGCCACTTATGATAATATCTTGCTATCATTTTATGTCACAATGATGTTTCAGTGGATTTACATGATTGTAAAGCTAACCATTGTATTATGGTTCACTATGATTAATGTGACCACCAATGAATGCTGATAATAATTACCCCCTTCTGTAAACTGTCTCTAAATAGAATATATCCCCTAGAACAAATTTAATCTTATTTTAAGTGTGAAACATGGAAAATGACTTTTCTATCGATCAATATGAAATATTTAATAAGAAGTGGAATTCTACTGTACACTGAAAAATGATTTTTTAATTACTGTTTCCCCAGATCTTGGTGCAAGGTACAGTAGGAGATGGTTTCACTGGAGACATTGGACTTGATGACATGTCATTTCTAGACTGTGCTGTTTACAATGGTAAGGACAGATTTGAAGCTATATAAATTCCTTTTCCATGCACTGATTGTTTTCTCTTATTTGTAAGTAACATAAAGTTTTCTTCTGGAAAAACACAACCAGATCAAACTAAGTCAGGCTAACAAGAAAATTCAGACAAGAAATAGTAGTGCACTTAGGGACCTAAAGAGATCATTTTTAACAAGTTCTTAACAAATAGGGAGCTTCCATATTCTCTGGAATTTCATTTGTTAGATTTATTTTCTTTCTAGTAGTGTAAGTGTAAGAAAACTGAATTTTCATTCAGTGAAATCTGTTTAATACAACCTTCCTCCTCTCCTGAATAATATTTAAAGTTGTTACATGGGCACTCACTTTACAGTGTGCAAGCAGTTCAGATAATAAGGCAGTCTGCCCCCTCTTTTAAGGGGATTTTAAGGGGACTACTATTAGCTGCATCTTTATATATAGCCTGATGGATCATCATAGAATGGCTTGCCTTGGAAACGACCTGAAGTATCATCTAGTTCTAACCCTCCTGCCATGAGCAGGATTGCTACTTACTACATCAGGCTACCTAGGGCTGCATTCAGCCTGAACGCCTCTCTGGGCATCCACAACTTCTTTGGGAAACCTACTCCAGCTCCCAGATGCCACTTAAGAAATTCAAACAAGGAGAGATGGGCTAATTAACTTCATGGTAAACTCACATATGTAATATCAAAGATGTAGGAATTTGAGCATACAGTTTTGATGCACAATTTGAATGCTTTAAACTATTGGCATTTCAGTGATGTTTGCTCCTAGACAAAATGGTGTTTCACAAATTATAGAAAATGGATTATTTCAAATAATAAGGGAAAGGAGTTGATCTGTCCTAAAGGTTATTGTGTTTGAAAAAGTTTTTTCATCTTCCAGAGCGAGTTGGAGCAGAGTCTTGAATGTGGCATCTCTGTTCAAAAATTTCTGGTCCATAAGGTTCTTGATGCTATTAGGAGTTGTAAATACATTTATTATATCATATAACTATGTAACTATATAACTAATATCTATCAGTTATATAGTTATACATAGTATATATATATAATATTATAATCATATTATATATAATTATAGATATAGTATGCATAATATAACTATTATATAAAATATGTGTTATTCATCATAGTTTTTTATATATATAAAACTAATACATATATATGTTATATATATATGTTTTATGGATATATATAAAACTATGATGAATAACAATTCAAAAGGTTTCTCCTCTTTCATTTTTTGTTTAAATCTAAAGATAGTATTAGTGCATCATTCATTTGATGTCATAGAGGTGGTTGTTACCTTACAAAAGAGATAGCTCTTTCTTGTAGGGAATTTATTATGTCTGGATGGTACTGTGCCTTAAGGAGGAAAAAAAAAATTGCTGTTCCAGACATTTTTCATATCAAGTCTTCACATGTAGTTTTTAATTAACCTAGGTGTATTACCTTATTGTATTACTATTACTGTAGTGCGTTGTGCACTACACCTAATGATTTCATTAGTGATTAAATTCAAAGAAGGAATTGTATAATGAAAATCCTTTTTCTGGACAATGATAGCAGAGGTTTTTAAGAAGTGAGAGTAAGCCTGAAGAAAGGTGCATAGTAAAGAACAGAAGGAAAAACACAAGAAGAATGGATTGAAAAGTAGTGGTGGGACAAGTTAATGATATCACATTAATTTTTCTAAACGGAAAAAAAATATTTCGTTATTGATGAAATTGAAAGGTTAAAAGGTTATCTGGCAATTTGTACAGTTAATTATAGTAATCAATATGTTGTAAAAAGGCTACTGTTATCCAACGGTCTGTTAGCTTTTCTTCTCAAGGAAATTGAGTTTTTTTTAACTGTTCTGAAGGTCTCCCTGTTATTAGTTTTTGAAGTTTTGTTTAAATTTGAAAGCCAGGTAAGAGGCTTAAGCTCCTACAGATGTTAAGGGCTGTGTAACTGGTGGTTTGTTGACATGACCAACTTAGGGCTTTCCACCAAGGAAACCTAGCAATCGCATGTTCAATTGACTGTCTGCTGGGCAGCATTTTAAAAAAACAGCCTGGCCACCCAGAATTTTTTCCAGTAAAGCTATAACTTTGAGAAATGATGTGAGTGGCAAGGAAAGAAATAATTTGAAATCTGAGTGCCTTTGTTCTGTTTCTCAGAATTTTCCTTGTCTTTTAAAGGAAGCTTGCCAACAATCTCTACAACTCTGTCAGGAACTTCAAGTCCTATCACACTCCCCTTGAACAACTGCACAGAGAATGAATTTGTCTGTAGAGTCTCTGGCCATTGCATCCACATGATCCAGAAATGTGATTTTAGACCTGACTGCTCTGATAAGTCTGACGAATCAGATTGTGGTGAGTGTACTAAATTCTGTACTTTACCATTTTATTAGTTTCTGCTTATTCAATCTATTGCTTTAACTACTGTTTATTTACCTTTGTCTTTTGATATTAACGTTTAAGAATAATTTTTTTAAAAAATGATTTTCCCTAGAAAAAGAATAAAATTTTGCTCAAAATGTGTAAAGCTGAGGTGCTTTCTGCCTTTTAATGGGACAGTTAGACTGATGTTTTATATTCCAATTCAACTTACTAGCAAAATAGGAAAAAGAAATTCCCTTTTCTCAAATTAATTAAGTTTTTCAAATGTTGAACAATTCAGATTGGAAGAGAGAATATCTAGTCTCATGTTTGGGGCATGCATCTGGGATACTTGGGTTCATTTCTTACCTACTTCTGTGACTATTCAGTATTTTCAGCAGCTGGCTGCTGAAGTTCAGTTATGAAAATAATGATGTTTTTGCCATTACTTTGTTCACTTGGTAAGTTTGATTTTGCCAAATGAGCTGTAAATTCTGAATTGACAGAGTAATTTAGTGTTAGGCCTCCTAAGTTAGAGTGGGAAAATAAATTTAATCCTGTTATTGGTCCCAGATGTTTTCCTATGGCTAGAGTATGCAGTGTGGTGCGCTCCACACAAAAGTCAGTGAATCCCAATCTGTAAATTCCCAAAGACTTGATGAGAACCATGGAGCTGGGACAATGGACAGTGCCACCAGACAATGTCCATAGATTTCTGAAACATTTGTTTATTACTATGGAGTTGCACCTGTTCACACTGTAGCATTATAGGAGACGCTGTCAAAGACTTTCTGCCTTAAAACACAGTTGTTGAAAATGTTTCTGTTCAAAAGCTAATTTATGAGAAATACAAACATCTCCCTGATGATCAAATCTCTTCATTTGTTACCTATGATGTAGGGAACTCCAATCACTTCTGTCAGAACTGAAGACTTAGCTAATAAAAGTAACGTTTGACTTCCTCCTGTCTTTTTCTTGGGTGACTTAATCTGATGTATAAATGTGAGTGTGGTTATTTCCTGTAATGTGTATAAAACACTAACCGTTGTAAAACTACACTGAAAAATATGTCAAGAGACCTCTGGATAGGCACTTTTTTCCTCAGAAATTTATTATGTCTTACAATCTTTTCCTTCTGAGACAGATAAGTACTGGGCAGAATATACTTTCATACATTTGCTTTTTCTGCAGCCTCCAATTGTTGCTAGCATTGTTGGCAATTTATCACTCAAATGACAATGCTGGAATAGAAGAAATTAAGTATGTCTCGTATGAAGGCAGAAATATTTTCTCAGGGAAATGTTATCTTTCTCAGAGGCATCCGAAGGAATTTTTTTAAAACGTGTTTTTTTATTTAATCAGGGTAGAATACCATAACACCATGCTACTCTGTAGTCTCAGGAAGCATCACAAATCCTCATATGGATAGTGAACTAGACAGACTACCCTGGCTATACTTTTTTTACTCAATGGAGATATGAAGCTATAATTCATAACTCACTTTCTCCTTAGTCTATCATTTGTAGTCAAAATTCTGCAGACTAAGTAGCATAAATGAAGAAACAGTTAGCTCCAATGGGATTTCTTGTCCAGTTCCTCAGGATATCAAAAACTGAGACACAAGCAGCTGTATATTTATTTAGTAAGATAAATTCAGTACTTTACACCAACGTCAAATATTAGGATTATTATGTAGTTTTCAGGAATTTCAAGGACTGCTTGAAATAATGAACTGCTTTTTCAGGGTTTCTGTGTAGGATTTTTTTAAATAAATTTGCAATGGGTTTGTAATATCATCAGCATGTTAGAGTGAAGTAGGACTAACACGCAATAACATCAGATGCATTTTACATACATTCCAGTGTGTATCACATGCTAGATTATTTGAATGACCTGAACGCTGATCAGAATACATTCAGTAATAATTACCAAGGGGGTGAAGGAATTGCTTTATTTCTGAAAAGCATCTGCCTCATAGGAAAGAACATAGAAAATATAATAGATATTTTATCTGAAGAGGAAAAAATATAAAATTTAGAAGTGTGTAAGTATTACTTGGATTCTACAAATTGAATCCCTTTTTTCTATTTATTTTATAACAGTATAAATTAATGATCCCCTCTTTTTATATAAGCATGAAATATTTGCTGTTCATCTCTACAGCTAAGGAAATCTGCGATTTTGAAGATAATACCCTGTGTGGATGGTATCAACCAGCCTTGCAAGAGATATCGGAAACTGATTCCATCACAAAAATGTTTAAGTGGGAACATGGAAGTGGAGCAAAACTATATCCTGGAGAAGAAGAGCACTGCCCATCAACTGATCATACTACGTGAGTAAAGTTTTACAGATAGTCCACTGCTTTTTGTACTGAGTTTAGCTACATATGTATTGCCACAGGGAAAACTGCTCAGTTCTAAGTATTGAAGCAGTTTATTGATTTATTACTGACACATGTAACTAAGTGAAAATTAACAGGATCAATGTTGTCAGTATAATAGGTAAATCTAGTAACACGATTTTAATAAACAGGTCCAAATTTATAAATGCTCTTGTATAAGTAATCCCCCCAAGTTCTCCCTGTACAGAATAATAAATATGCACCTCTTCTGCTAGAGGACATATGGAATGTAAGCATGTTGGGAAAACAAGTTTTACACACTTCTTGTTTGGAGGAGACATGGCTGCTTTGGCTTTATACATATCCATGCCCCTGTCTATATACCACTAATACATAAGCCATGAGACATCGGCACTCCTTGTAGCACCTTCTACTGTCAGCTCAGACTTCTTGTAGCATTCAATTGGGGAGGATGCTCTGATCTGTGTGGAGGTTGTTGTACCAGCAAAGCAACTTTTGAAATATCAGCATCAGTTTTTGGCTGCTGCTGTTCCCATTCTGTAGTCTCTCCTCACTATTATAAAATTTTCCTGCTAATACTTTGCAAGCTGACTAGAAAGACTTTAAAAAAGGTTTACAGAATTTTTTGTTACTGTTTAATTTATTTGATGGTGTTCATCATCTTGATCAGTTTTGGGAGAATGCCTTCTCAAGTGGCAAACATATTTGCTTTAATGTGTTACTAGATATTGTTATCTGTGCAATTTTGCCAGGAGTGTGCAGCACTGGTTATCCCAACAATGGGTCTTGTGAATTCAGCTGTCATTTGGGAATTAAGTAGTGCGGTTTGAAACAACCATAGTTAAACTGAATTGTAGTTCAGTTTAGTTTATATGTGTGTGTATATATATATATATATATATATATTTATCTGATAAATGTTATTACTTAATAGAAAAATGGATAATATTACTACTCTGCTGAGTCATTTATTTTCCATCTGTAGTATTCTGTTTTCAAACAAGATGTAATTAATTGTTTTTCCTTGACAAAATACTGTTTCTAAGATTACTGAAGAAAACTGTTACTTCATGCTTAAAGAATCATATTCTAAAGTGCCTAGAAAACAGAGGCATGCTAATGAAGAAATTTTTCACTGAATGAAGAAATATTTCACAAAGAAATATTTCCATTTCAGTGGAAATATTTCAGAACCTGAGTTGTCATTTACTGCAAAGAAAGTTTAAAAATGGCTTCCCCTTTAAAGAAAACAGGCAGAAAGTGTAAAATAAGTTCAAAATTCTACAGTCCGTCTGAGAAGCAGACTGTTCAGGAAGGAGTTTGGAAGCTTGACTATTTGAGTCAACAGGTTTACTCTGTAGAAAACAGCAGTCTGTACACATGCTGCTCATTGCTGTATTTTCAAAAATGGAAGTAATTTTTTTGGAAGGTTAGAATTTTACCTAATGCCAATAAACTGTCTAAAAGTGTTCTTTAGATGTTAATGATACAGGAGGAACATGTAGCATTCTGCTCTCCCAGAGAAGCTTTCTAAATCTGTTTTGGATTCTAGACACTGTTTGTGCTGATTATTCATTCCCTCCAAAGATGTACTTTTGGCTTCATTCAAAGAGGAGGAATTAGCTTTTTTTCATTGAAATATAAAATAATTAAAAAAAAAAAAAGGCAATTTAAAAGATGCATTAATACAGCAAAAAATAAAAATTATTAAAACAAAATTCCTGAGTTTGAGTAGCACATGTATTAACTGTAAGAAACTTTCAATTTCATGCAAGTTCACTTAATGTAATCGGGAACTTTCCTTACAATGCCATTGATGCTCAATAACCCAAACAGAAAAATATTTGCCTATTTGTAGCAATAAGTGTATTTGCTTTCTGCTATACTAGTCCTCAAAGCGCAAAAATAGACTTCAAGTTAAAATCACACCAAAAAACAAAAAAAGCATTGCTATGTATCTGCTAGGTTAAAATAGGATTTATATTGCATTTCCATAGCCTGAGATTATTTCTCTAATTGTAAAGGAAACATCTCATTATGGTAATTGTGTACTTCATTAAAATAAAAAACACCATAAAGACAAAAATTCCTAATACATCACTAACAACAAAACCAAAATTAAAAAAACCACACAAAAAAAATCCCCCACAATTACGATATTATGCAATTGTTTCCAAGTCTCTAGATTATATACATGAAGGAAGTGTGTTCCATAAAAAAGTGCAAGTATTTAAGACAAATTGACTGCCAAATGTTTCACTGGCTGCTGTTTAAGTGTTATATATTAGCTAATAGAAGCACTATACATATGCTGAATAAGTCATCTCATAGAATTTTCACTGCAGATTTGTGCTGGAAATATCACTCTTTCTTCACCCAATTTTCCAGGTTTATTGAAACTAAATATATATTTTAAAGAATTGATAAAATTGGAAGTAAGTTGTAGTTTTGAGGCAACAGTGATGTTTTATAGTTGAGATCTTTTACACTGGATGTAACTGATGTAATTTGGTCTGCAGTTTACCCATTCTTTATTTATAGATGAGAATGGAATCACGAGGATTCCAGATTACAGCAGGAAATATGGTACTATGCTTTGTTGAATTAAAACACTAAAATATTTTTTTCTCATTTTTTTTTCCCCAACATTTACATGGGTTTAGATGAGAAATGAGCTGTAACATTATGTATTTTCTTATTAAATCACAGTAGTTTTGGATAGAAATTATTAGATTCATTCTGATACAAGAGTGGATTACAGTACAGTGTTGTAGCCAGCAGGCCAAGGGAGATGATTGTTCCCCTCTACTGTGCCTTTGGCCACAGCTGGAGTATTGCATACAAGCCTAGGGCCCCCAGCACAGGAAAGATGTGGAACTTTTGGAGAGGGTCCAGATGAGGGTCATGAAGATGATCAAAGAGCTGAAACACCTCTCCTGTGAAGATAGAAAAGCGGAGGTTGTGGGGACACCTCACTGTGCCCTTCTAATATTTAAAGGGAGTATATAAACATGAGGGAAATCAACTTTTTATGGGGGTATATAGTGATAGGGCAAGGGGGAGTGGTTTTAAACTAAAGGAAGGGAGATTTAGATTAGATTTCAGGAGGAAGGCTTTTACTGAGATACTGGTGAGATGCTGGCACAAGCTGCAAAAGACATTATGAATATGCCCCTGGAGGTCTTTAAGGCCAGGTTGGATGGGGCCCTGGTCTAGTAATTGTTCTAGCAGCTGGCAACATTGCCTGTGGCAACAAGGTTGGAATGTGATGATCTTTGAGGTCCCTTGCAATCCAAGCCATTCTATGAATTTACAGTGATCTTTCAGCAGAATTTCTGTGAATAGCTGGAGACTCAAACTGTCAGTTTCTCATAGATTATACATCTGGGCCACTCAGACATAGGCTGATGAATTTTAAGGGAGAGGTGTGTACATTTGAACCTGTAATTACATTAAGTGAATTACGTTAACAATTTGAGAAATTGACTTAGGCATCTTGTATATAACCCCAACTCCTAGAGGAACAGAAGCTGTTATGGAATTCTGCTATGATTGCCCAACAGTCATGGGCTTGGGCTATAGAAATGTTGATAAATGTTTTGCAAAGAATTAGGTGACCTTCATTGTATACTGAAATGGCCACTATGGTGTGTATTAATATAGAAATCTTATGGCATGTTTCAACACTTAGAAAATGGGAATTCCTTATCACAGTTGGGTTTAAATGCCATAATAATGAAGATATTAACCTCTATATGGTTAAATATGGACATAAAGCAAAAAGATAACTGAAAATAGTTATTTTCATTTGAGAAAATCTAGGTAATGGAATAGCAAATTCTTTGACATTAGTAGTGATATTTGGGTACAACTGTTAATTGAAAACATTGTAGGCACTTAATTGATATGATAATTCATACCTAAAAAGTCATCAAATCTAATGAAGCAAAACCAAGAAGTACATAGAACAAAAATTCTATGCTCACATAATAATTATTACTCTGTAAGTAGCTCCCCTGATAACTGTTTTTAACGCATCTGCCTTGCTTTTCAGACAATCATTATCAGAATTTACCTTAGGAAAATTTAAAGTCTTCAAAGTAATATACTTTAAAACAGTTTTTGACAGCTGAAAAGAGAGCTAAGAGTCTAAGAACTTCACTGTAGATGAAAAAATTGTAGTCCCAGAGGGCACTAATTCTTAAAAAAAAAAAAAAAAGAAAAGGGAAGAAAACTGAATTTAACTACTTAAAAGCACTTATTTTTTTTACACTGTTTCAATTAATATAACAAAACCCATCCTTTTATTACATGCACAGATCTCCTTTGTTCTGTGTCACTGTCCCTGACGGAGATGTAATAAGAAAAGAAACATTGAAATTACACTGAATACATTTTTGGTGCATGGCAAATCATAGGTAGTTTCCAAAACTGTTCTTCAGTACAGTTAAGAAATATTTGGTGTGAAGGGGACGGAGACCTGATTAACTTTGACCTGAAAATCACTGTGCAAGGAATCAGTGTTCGTGAGACAGGCTTACATGCTGAAAGATTTTTTTGGTCCGTTCATATTTGATGGGATGCGCTGACACTAAAAGTGAGGCTTTCTTTTTATTTAAGAACCAAGCCAATAGCAATAAGAACAAAACAAAGGATTAGAGGGAAAAATGGCCAGCTCAGTCAACAATCTCCCAATTTAGCACTCTTTGTTACAGCATATTTTCCCCTGTAACACTTTTGTAACAGAAGCTAAGAGCTAGCTATATTTCATCAGGATCTCCCTACTGTTATATTTTGTTTCTTTGTTTTTCTCTGCTTAAAATGCTTTTATGGCTATTGAAGCACACTGTGATGATCTACAGCAAATGTTGAACACTGATTAGATGGTAACTTTGGGTGTGAATATTACTGGGTAGTTATTGGGAAATTCCACTGATATCTATAATTTTATTCTTGTCTTTTTTTCCTTT